TGATTTCATTCCTTGTTGTTCTTGAATACAACTCAGTATTTTCTGTTTTCCTTGGATTAATGTATTTGCCCTTCTAGACTTTGGCCGTACAGCACTTTTTTCTTGTGATAAAATATTAGGTAAATATTCCCCAATCCAGATGTTTCTCAGGATTTCAGTTGCTTCTTCTTCTGATTCTGCATATTTGTTGGCTAAGGCGAAATTTGGATGACACTTTTGAGGAAGTGGTAAGTTTTTCATGCATGTCTTTCAATATTTCTTAAAGATGTTACCTACGTCTTTTCTAAATAATTGGTCTTATCAGTTTTCTTCTCAGCAAGAAGCAACTAACTTCCGTTATCCTGGTATTCGTGGTCATTATCCGGATATGGACATATCTGTTGATCGGTGGAATTATTAGATACAATCTATGTATGCTGCAGTTATTCTGACCTCTCTTTCAAGTGAGGACGTCTTCTCCACGTGGTTTGTTTCACCACAGTTTATAATTTCATGTATATTTTTGCAAGCTTTATTTAATGCAACCATACAAACTCTCATTGTTAAATGAATGGATATTCCTCTATAATCTCATGTTTGACATTTGTTTAACTTTGTTTTTGTGCTCGATGTTGTTCAGAAGTGTCAAGAACGTTGAGGAGATTTTGTTTACATAGCTTATTGTCGATTTTATTTGTATGTGTATTCATACGCATGGCCACATTTTTGGTAATGAACCTAAATCTCTTGCAAAAGTTTGCAGCTAGTGTGTATAGGCTGTCGTTATTTAAATTTATCTTCAGAAAGCTTAGTAGTAGTTCGTAATACACTGCTTAGAAAGATTCGCGTCTATGCCCGATTTCAAAAAGGGCGCGTGTGGCGCAGTGGTCGAAGGCGCCCTGCAATACACACAGAATCGATCCCCGCGCTCGAGGCTCGCGGCCTTCCATCTCTCCGGGGTCTTGATACCCGACTTATGTGGGAGGATAGCAGCACAGACTTCATGTTTCGGTAGAGCACTTCGAGTCACTGTAAAGGCGGGATATGCATTCACTCACCTTCAAACGACGCTTAATGAAGTCTAATACATGGCGCATTCCTCGGTGATTGATCAACGCCGAGAGCTTTATCTTTTTCATTTATCCCATGCCTAGTTTTGGCCAGGTACAGTATTATGTTCTAGACAGTTTTTCGCAGCGCTTTGTGCATTGAATCCAACGGAAGTGGCCTGTTGTGCATCCACAAAAATGGTTACTTTTGTTTTTTGTTCCATATTTCTGATTTTTCATATACTATTGCAGTAATTTATGTTTTTATTCATTGTAGATATACTCTATGTTCGTCCATTTATTTTCTCATACTTGTTATCATACTTTGGCCTCCTGCGTTATGAAAAGTCCGTCCACCGTTCAACCATCTCCTTCAGCATCAGTATCACAAATATGTTGACACAAGTACAAGGTTGTTGGGGTACGAGAAAAACTAGGGACCTCAGATGGGCTTCGAACTCGCGGTTACAATTGCCTAGTGCATACATGCTATCCACCGCACCAATCCAGCTCCTTGTTTCGTCTTTCTTTCAGTCGTGTTTTCACTCTATCAGTGCGTTCAATAACCACCCGTCAACAGGAATCATGTGAAGAGTACATGTCAGCATTGAACCTACTGAATCTGATGCTCTAGTCGAAATCACAATTTTTTCACATCTCTGTTTCCTACTCTTTTTCATGGCAGAAGGAATAAGCAGTAGATAAAAGTGAAAGCATGTAATGTGTTTATTGTGCATTCGGCTGTATACGACATGAACTACATTTTGGTTCGATCGGTCATGGAGAGCGGACAATAAGCATCTAAAAACTGAATGTGGAAAATGGAAAATGTGGAATTTGTTCTGGTTTCCGAGGAATCCGATAAAATTGAACCGGAGGATGACAACGAGGATGAAAATGATCAGTTTGGAATTCATTAGTCAGACATTATGGTGCCTTATGATTGTTGGATTTCGGCAACATTCGTTCTACTGTTGAGCCGCTTGAATGCACAAACGGGATATATTTGTGTAAATTATTTATGGCTAATATTTGAGATCAGATTTTGCAAACGACCAATAGATACAAAGCAGAGAAGGATCAATTATGAGGATTAGCAGCTACCTAGATGAAGATACTCATTGTTCTTTGCTTTCATGTAGAAAATGTTAGACTACCACAGGCTTTTCTTGACTCACGGCAGGCACGTTATGATAGGAAAGCCGTATGTTTATTACAAAGTTGCAGGCCTTTTTTTTTTCAAGAGAAATGCATAGTTCGACAATGGAACACCAAAATGCCATGCCGACAAATCGCAGAAATCTTACTTTCTAATTACACTAGATAATGAAGTCACTCGGTTGTCATAAAAGGGCGTACATTTTGATTGACATTCCTGTCAAGTCTTCGTTTTACACAAGTACGAGGAAGATGGAAAATAGTAATGATGCTGAAGCACTTGAAGGAAACGTGAGGGAGTATAGCATCGGATATGCAGTAGAAAAAAATCCAGCTATCTCATGGTAAATCCACAGTGTAAAATTGAGAAAACAGAACGAGATGGTTCTCTGATTATAGCGATTACCTCTCCTGTACCTTATGTCTTCAATAAGCATGAGAAACAACACGGAATAGTAATTACACAGAACCAGATCATCATGGACCGCGTCCGGCCATCTCAGAGAAGCCACCAAAAAGATCATGAAATCGAGATTCCGCACATGTCTTTATGAATCGATGCTACTCTCAGGACTCTGCTATGAAGAAGAGATGTGGGTTGATACACGGAGCGTTTTACGTACCATCCAGTAGGGTTCAATAATGTCATCTGGAATCTGACCGACGCCCATGGAACCAAGCATGACCACTAAGGTCATAGCTTCGAAAAATATTTTGTCCCCAAGATCCAGGGAAATACAGATAGAATGCGAGACATGAATGGGACGGTCGTATAATGCGCATTGAGCTTCAGAAGTATGTAGGTGACCTTACAATAACCAGTTGTGGGATGGGCAGTGTTTGCGGCGCTGGTCAACCAGCTTGTCTTCTCTGATCGCCATATACAAAGAAGGATGAAGGGTGTACTGAGATCGGCTCTACTCTTGGAAGATATTGCAAAAGAAGCTAGTACGACAAAGGAACACCAAGAAAAATTCTGTGAAACCGATGCGTATGTTCTGTTTGTCTCGTAATAGGTGGAGTAAGATTACATACTCATCGCTAGATTTCATCGATTGATCAAGCTTCTATAACATGACTTTAAATGTGGTGATGATTCCAACTAGAGCTGTCTTTAAATGAGCTACATACTAAGCTTTCGAGAGGTGAATTATCGACCACCGCTTTTTTGGGCAAGGTTTTTTTTAGAAAGTTTGCAGTACTGAGAGTGGTCCTGTATGGGTTTAAAAGTAGCAACAAACTTCGCAATGAATAATTGTAACATCACAGGCACGAAGACCATTTGGCTATATGTGCAATATTATGTTCCTTTTAACAGTACGAATAGGCCCAATAGAAATTGGTCACTTTTCTAGAAAACAGACAAGTCCTCTAGTGCAGAATAATAAGGGGACATTTGGATTTCCGAAAATCTTTACAACCACAATGATGTTGAGATATTTACAAAACCCCGGACAACAGGTCTCTGCAGTGGGGAACGAACGCGATACTATCCTTTCCGGGGGCCAATGCGTTCACCACCACACCATGCGGGTTCTTCGTTTCACCTGTCTCCGTTTATATTTTTGGCTGAAGAAAAAGAAATTTTGTGTTGGGTAGTCAAAGCATGTGATTTTACAACAACAGAAATACCACTCGAAAGATTTTATTGTAATTATGGAGCGCTTAATATACAAACATTGCAATATGAACATCGATATTCTATATAAAATTCTATAATGCCAAGATGAACCCGTATCACATTACATTCTCACTGTAAAATAAGAAATGAGGGCAACTGTATGTGAAGACACTGGTTTTGACAAAGTGTGCTACATATGATTGAACCGTGATACCCGTAAAGCGGAGCAGAAGTATTTATTGCATAATCAGCGGGGACTGAAAGGCTTAACCACTTAGATTTTATAACACAAAAGTCACCACAACTTCATTTCGACGTCAATAATATGCACCTGATTTCTTATTCTTCCTCTAGTAATCGCCATATATTTATTTAAATTGTTCGGTTTAAATGAGGTTGTAATATATAACAGCTTCGTTTAAGCTGAACTATCTAAAAAAATATATTGGTCGTTCACGCCGAAGTAAAGTAGAAGCCGGTTTAGTAAGATAATAACTACGATTATAATATTTGGAATATGGCTGGAAAGCTGTTAGATGGCCAACTGTTGCAAACAAGATCTACAGTACTACAGAGGAATTGAAGTTTCAAACAGAATTTTGTTATTCCGCCTGTAATTCCACTACTGTGTATGAATGATGCGTACTATTGACGCCTGAGTTACGGTGAGGATTCTCAGGTACTTTAGGAGACGGATTTAGAAAAGCGTCCTTCTGAAAACCTGCTAGAAATCCGACTCTGCAATCGTGTCATCGTCCTTGAATACTGGATTTTCGTGCATTTCGTCCACTTTCAAGTGAAACAACGATCGTGTTGGGATCATTGTCTCAATGGCGTGTAAAATGCAGTGATGGATGAAGATGTATTGCTGCTGAAAGCGCGAAAGTATGGTCACTGTTAAGACGAGACCATTTATTATACAACATTTTTTGGTGCTTCCAAAGATTTACGCAAACCAAGTGGCATGGGCTACTAACGCTAAACACGCCATGGCTTCCACCCAGGCCCTCCAGTATTGATCTATGACAAACTCAATCCAGTTTTTTGAGAGTGAAAGGTACTGTACTAATGAAGTTGTAGAATCACTTGCCGTGAAAGGCATCGTAAAAACTTTCGCCTGTTAGATAATTTGTGAAAAGTCTGTGTAAACTGCTAACTCGTTAGCGGAAATATGTGTTCTTAAAGAAAAGCGATCAAAATTCCACCTCGTTTTGAACCATGTGGCAGCGTTCCAGTCGCATCTCATGCACAATGCCGAAGATGTCAATAGGTCGTTCAATTTGTATAGTCTGAAGAAGCCGGTCGATCGCGATGAATGTACCCGATCTCCCTACACCGGCACTGTAACGGAATTACCGATTACGTAACAGAAGAACATGCTTCTTCCACAAAGGGTTATCACAAAATTCTGACAAAAACTATGGTAAACAAGAGACAGAACAAGGGAGAAAACATCCGCTAAACCAGTAATGATATATATCTCGCTCTTCAATGCAAACAAATCGCTATTGAAAGGTGAAGTAAATACCTGCAGTGAACAATTGTTGGCTTATTCTGAGCAGAATGAGGTATTCTTGAACGGTACATCATGGCGAACCTGAGAAATAAAATATTCAACAGTTTTTAATGGCCTTCAGAAGATTCTCCAGGAAGCAGGTTATGAATACCAATAAAAAATGTGGATGATCGAAAGTTTTTTTCTGACAGAACCGTTTTACCAGTACCAAACAACATCTATACTACTACTTTGCTATTTGGACGGGCCGTACTCACTGATTATACGAGCTTCAGCATGATTTCCATTCTCTGAAAACTTGCTGGTTTAGCCATTGTGGTTACCTACAGTCGCGAGGGCAACCAGGTCAAAGTCTTACCAGAGGCAGTCGCTGCCCTTGTGGATCAGAGGGAGATTTGCTGCCATGCCACTAGCTTGATACCATGACGAACGATGGTGGATCCTGGTATGAGTTTACTCTTAGCTGAGCTTCCTGATGGAAACGCTGGACTCCTTCTCAGCTTGACAGCGCCTGCTGTGAGGATGAATCCTCCCGCTCTATATCCCGACACCCGGGAACATCTCCCAGCCACGATGAGGCGGTAAGCCATTGGGAGGTATACAGTGAATACATACATATATGTAGCAAATTTGTAACACCCCAGCAGACTAATAAGTAGTACATGGATAACGGACAACGGCTGATTTGAGGCTAACGGTGAATCCTCAAATTTATTACCACGTCAGTTCAGAAAAAGACAGGATCTTCCGATATTTGGTTTGGTTTTTCCAAAGAGTAATGAAATTTCAGATTCAATAGGTCTTCTTCGAGATTTTTTCAGCGCTATGTTATAATATGGAACTGAAAACGATTAAAAAAACAATTTGCACTCATTGGAAGATACGGAACCTAGGCGGAGTGACTTCATGTATGTCAAAGAATTTTTGCTTTAAATCTTTTACGCTGCACGTGCCCCGTGTAATCACAGCACTTACTAGCATGGAAATCGAGGTGATCACAATATTCCATGTAGAAGAGCTATGACCACCATAGGTAATCAGATTCAACGTTGTAAACCAGGTAATGTAGCCGAGTAACACAGATTTAGAGAAGAAACTGTTCCCGCTCACCGAATGATTCCTTGCGGATGTTCTGGTACTCCAAAGTCGGGCCAAGCCATGTAGTGGAACTGTTGTAGAATCCAGGATTGTGTCTGACTGTGTACACGTCGCAAACGAAGCTCTCTAATGCTAAACTCATCAAACGATGATTCGTTCAGCATCGTCACCTGAACGACGTATACTAAAAATGAATTGGATAGAAACAGCGTTCTTGGATAACGCTTCCAGCAAAACTCCGGTAATTACTGTAGCACGAATATATGTGACTATTTTTAAAGAAAGACAAGAATGCAGTAATAATCGAGAAGCATTAAGGTTATTTTTCATTATTATACCCAGGCACACCTCGAAAAATGCCACTTCGGTCCCAACTCAAGAGAAAACGTAGCTTATGACATGTGACAAAATCGGCGATTTTTCTAGATAGCACCAGTACGCTCAGTTCAGCGACGCGGATAACAGAAATTCACTTTTCCAGATTTCTCTGAGGTTAAATGAAAGGTCATACTCTCACTACCGTGTTAAATACGATTTCGAGATTAATAGAGACGCACGTTTTGATATAGAAACGTGAATACAGAGATGTTCTATTGAGCTCAAGCAAATAAATAACACCATTCTTCCAAAATACGCTAAGAAATTAGTTCTTCATCCATCTATGTCGCCGTCACGTGCCTCGATATCTCCATAGACGACAGTGGAATGCTCGTTGTCTGGCCAATACTGGTGGCATTTATCGCGTCCTTTCTCCACACACTTCGTAAGGGCAATGATTGCTGGACAGCCTTGTTCCCAAGCCATCTGAACATATTTATGTCTATGAAAGCGGTTGTCTACTCTAAGAGGGTGAAATCACTTCAAATAAACTTTAGAAAAATATTCAAAAAAGCTGGACATTTCTGTACAGAGGAAGTTAGAGGAAGTTAAAGTATAGAGGAAGTTAATGAGAAGTTTCAAATACTTGACCTTCATAAATACCAATATAACGTACTCTACGTGTTCCGGAATGACTATGTTCGACACGAATGGCAAGTCACAGAAATGAAACGCTTTTTACCTGCCAAAAGGCATCTCTTGTTGTGGGCAAGGGTCCCTGGGCAGCTATGAACTCACGGCGAGAGGAGAATCCCTGAAATCTACCAAATCCACGGAATCAAATATTTCTTTTCTTAAATATTAAGTGGTTCGAAACCGCGCTGGTTTTTTAACAAACGATGATGATTTCTCCACCACCAGACTAGCTGAAAGTTGAAGACTTTAAAGACTTGTAAAGAAGACTTTGTTACATCGCTTTAATCGCACATATAAACTTTAGAAAAAAATTTCAATTTTACTTTTCTTTCATAAATAACACTTCAAAAAAACTGATGACGAAATTTAAACGTTTAACTTCCGACGCAAGCGTAAGAGCTGCAAAAGCACAAAAAACATGACACATTGGAGTACTGTATGATCTCCAGCTATAAGAATTCCCACCGGTTCAATTGCATTCGCGCTTGAAACATGAGCCATGACGCAAAAAAAAGTGAAGAAATACGTATTACTGAATGCATAGGATAAGAATTTCACCTTGGTAGAAAAAGAAAAAATTTCATGTTTCACCCAAAAAAATTTGTAGATTTCATAGTCCTTGTTTTAGTAAATAACATCCCCTATAAGTGGAGTTGTACTGGCTCAAAATTGAAGGTGAATGAGTCAATTTGGAGAGCAGGTTAGAAGAGACATTTTTTCTAAAACAATTGTTTGCACACCGGTATATAGTTGGCGTTCACATAGTCGGCACCTTCTTGATCCGTGATTTGTAGTAGCCTGACTCGAGAGTGGTCATATGGGAGAATGTTGGTGAATCTGAAATAATCAAAATTCAAAGGTACGACGAGGTCAGCCTTATTCAAAACTTACCTGTTCTTAGATTTATTCGACGGCAATTCAGCAGCATTATACGTTTGTCCACAACCGACGTTTCTTAGGATCTGGAACATTGTGAAAAATGCTCTTCTTTCAAGCAATTGTTATGTATTTATTGCGGAAACCGTTATTGTAAACACCACAACAACGAGAAGAAAAATCGACTGGTACAGAAACTTTGGAATTGGAAAAGAAGTCCTTAATCACCTCGTACTCCTCGGAGAATCGAAAACCAGAATCAACAGCCATCATGCGAACGTGGTCAGCGAAATCCAGAATTTCAACAGGTCTACTGAAAAAGATTGATGGTTTTTACCAGCTTTGGTTCGCCGGTTAATGGTTTCTTAACTCCTTTAGTTACTACATATTCGGCAGACTATATGAACTAAGAGATGTCGAAATTAATACAAAATCATTTAGGAAGGAAACCTTGAGAGGTTACTTTTTGAAGATATTAAACATGTACACAACATATAGAGACTCGAAAAATGTTCCTGGAATGCTAATGATACTTATGGATGGCGAGTAGAATAATGAATTGTGATGAAAATCAGAGCATGAAATGCATGCAAAATCCTCCGTTGGGGAAGAATTCGGATTTTTCAGGAGATTAAAGGAATGCCACTAAGAACAATCATTACTATTATCAATTATACAGAAGGTGTCAGCTATGCAGGGTTGTAAGGATTTTAGGACTTACGAAGATGAATCTTTTGTCGAAGTTCCCCAATTCACTACGAAACCTGAAACACCGGCTCGAAGCACCTTCACCCTCCAAGACTTGGACCACCGACAAGGGGTCCAAAGTTTTCTACTGATTGATAAATGTGACTACACTGCAGTGATTAATACTCTTTATTGCCCAGTTATCACGGATCTCCCTCATATGGGGAATCTCGAGCCGGTTAGCCGCGAGGCTATAAGGAGCGTCTCCAGGTAAGGATAAGGGAGTTAATCGCAGAGCAAAAGCGACCATTGCTTCCTTGAGACGCAGGTGGATCCAGGCAATGGACTCCCTGCTTCTGCCATGCCGATTTGGCACATACTTTCTGTATTTGCTAGGTTAATCCATGTATGCGTGTGTGGGTGCGTTCTTGCTTATGCGGATTGTATCCTACGAGTTAATTCAGCCAAAAGCCTGCAATCAAGTGACAGGGAAGTGTATGGGAGGCGGTTAGGAGTCGCCTCCAACAAGTAAGCTTCATGTACACTCTGGAGAACCTGGCAAGCTACCCATTAGTATACCCAGCCCCCACGTTCAGAGGCCAGTAAGCTATACATGGGTATCAAAAATGCTAAACACAGTAAAAAAAAAAAACGGCCCTCATTCCCCGGACTCCGAAAGAGCCCCCAATTTCGCAGCGTTTCGTAGGACGAGTACGGAGAGGCTGCTAAAATCTCAAGGACAATGGAAGCTGCCTGGATAACAAAGAACTATGGTGACGATCTGTACCTACAATGCACGTACACTTGCATCCAAGTCCTCGATAGAAGACTAGCTCATGCAACATAGAAGGATGAGGTACGACATCATCGGCTTGGCCGAAACAAGACGACGCCACCCATTCAACGCCGTCTATGACACCGAAGAAGACCTGTTCCTCGGAACATGCAACAGTAGAGGACTTGGCGGCGTCGCCGTTCTAGTCAACACGAGTTTGTCCATGAACATCGATTCATTCGAACAGCTTACAATCCGAATCGGACGTTTACGATTAAAAAGATGTGGATCAATACCGGCTTTCACAACCTTCGCCGTTTAAGCGCCGAAATCAAACTAAGACCAAGAAAAAGTCGAAGCGTTCTATATGGACTTGCAGAAGTTCTACAGAGAAGACCATACATTCTTCAAGGTCATAATTGGAGATTTCAATCCAAAATGGAACCAAGAAGAACGTCACATTGGGACTCATGGATTAGAATGGAACGAACAGGGTGAGCGGCTACATGAGTTTATCATGACGACCAAGATCATTCATGGTAACTCGCAGTTTCAGAAGCACCATCCTCAACGCTAGACGTAGGGGTCTCTCTATGGAGAACACCGTAACGAAATAGACCACATCATAGTAAATAGAAAGTTTTGCCTAGCCAATATCGCTGTTACCCCAAAATTCTACACGGGATCAGACCATCGTCTCCTTCGTGAAAGATTCTATTTCTCGCAGAAAGGAGAAAGAGTCGCTAAATTCAAAAACCGAAGTCCCAGAACCACCACAAACTGGGACTTATTCAATTCATTTGTCGGCTATTGGGAAGACGCCATTGTTGATAACATCGACGAAGAATACGATCGACTAATTCAACATCTTCACGTTAGCGCTATGAAAGCTCAGAGTTCAAAAGTCACCAAAAGACGTCTGTCTCCAGAAACACTCGTGCTGATACGCAAGCGTGAAATCGAACGTGCTTCAGGCAACCGCGAACTAACGTCGAACGTGCAACAAACCAATGCAGTCAGGCGATAAAAAAGGTCATAAAGAGAGAACCGTAACAGTAAAGGTCGAAGCTGCAGAGGCTGGGAAAAGCATTCGCAAAGTCCACTGCAGCTCGCCAATTACAAGACCAAGATGATTGCACTCCGACGCCCAGACGGAACAGTTACAGCGTCCAGGAAGGTAGTGGAGAAAATCATTTACGAGCACTACTCTGATCCCTTCGATAGCCACGTCCACCTTCCGTCATATGAAATAAAGGAAGATGGATATGTTGCACCACCGGTTCTCCCTTCCGAAATCGCACATGCCATTCGTCGGTGAAAAATCGAACAGCACCAGGTCCGGACAGGATAAGATCAGAACACCTGAAGAACTTTCCGCCAATACTCGTAAACATACTGACTCGGCTGTTCACATGTTACCTGTCTAAATACAAAGTCACTACTCAGTGGAAGACCAGCAAAACCCTGTTGTTGTTCAAGAAAGGTGACCAACGCGATATCGGCAACTATCGCCCAATCTGCTTGCTGTCTGTCGTCTACAAACTTTTCACTCTAGTCATCCTGAACAGGATTGACGGAACACTGGACGAAGGACAGCCATGTGAGCAAGCAGGGTTTCGAAAAGGATTTAGTACGATAAACCACATCCATACGATAACAAGGATCATTAAGGTATCGCGAGAATACAAAAAATCGCTCTGTCTCACTTTCCTCGATTTACAGGAGGCCCTTGATTCAATTGAGATAGAAGCAGTTATGGAAGTCCTTTTATAGATAACGAGTCCCCACTCAGGACATAAAGATTCTTTGTGAGAAGATTCTGTATATGAATTTCCCAACCAAGATATCACCATTCTACAATGATATTAACATTGACATCAAAAGAATAGTTTGGCAAGGCGATACCATCGCGCCAAAATTATTTACCGCCACCCTCTAGAACGTCATACGAACATTGGAATGGGATAATATGGGAGTGAAAATCGATGATAGGCAGCTACACTATGTTCGCTTTGCTGATAACATCGTCGTTATAACATCAAACATCAGCCAAGCGGAACGTATGCTTGCGGTCTTTGATAAAGCCTGTGGAAAGATTGGTCTTCAAGTAAATCTCACAAAAACGACGTTCATGAAGAATGGATTGGATTCGTACGCCCCATTCACGCTCAACAACGAATATCTCCGAATGCCCCAGTTATGTCTATCTAGGTCGGGAAATCAATATGATGAACGACTTAGCTCCATAACTGAGCAGAACGAAACGAGCGGCTTGGGAAGCTTTCAAGAACATTGAGGATGTGGTGAAGAGAACAAAGAACACCGCACTACGTGCCGAAGTTTTCGACTCAACGGTACTTCCTGCCCTAAAGTAAGCGTCAGAAACCTGGTCGCTGCGTAAGCAGGATGAAAGGTCACTCAGCGTTATCGAACGCGCAGTCGAAAGGACGATGCTAGGAGTATCCCTTTTCACACAAATTAAGAGATAGGATCCGAAGCTCTGACCTGCGTCGACGATCAAAAATCGAAGATGCCGTTCTGTACGAAAAACAGTCGAAGATAAGGTGGATCGCGCAAGTAGTGCGCGTGAATGACAACCGATGGACAAGAGTCGCTAGTGACTGGATTCCTCGGGATATCAAACGCACTGCAGGAAAACTACCAACTCGATGGTCAGAGTTCTTCAAGAAGAGCCTAGAAGAAAGATATGATGCTCAACGAGTCCCTAGAGCGAGCAGAACCCACTGGGCTACTCTTGCACGCGAGAGGGAAAAATGGAAGATTTGCTGTCGTACGCTCGAGTCAGTCGACGATCAACGGGACTACAGGTGATACAGGTGATCGTCCAATTCACTTGCATGGTTTTGTGGGAAGGCCTCAGTCCGGTGAATACCATGACGAGTTGTAGTTGTTCTTTCAAATCTTACAGCCAACAACTACTGCTCTTTTTCGATTGTGCTCTTTCACAAGACGTCCATATAACCTTGATACTTGACATTTTTGATTGCATAAAGAGCAAATTTCATAGTTAACAATACAACCATTGATGATATTACTACACGATTTCGTTAGCGGCGCGTGTGGCGCAGTGGTTAGAGGCGCCACTGCGACACGCACGTGGAATCGATCGCTCGGCCCATGGCCTACCGAGCCCTCCATCCCTTAGAGGTCGACAAATTTGCAACAGACTTGTCTGGGAGGATAGCAGCACTAACTCGATGCATCGATAGGACACCGCGAGGCCAGATATGCATTCAACCACCTCCAGCGATAATGAAGTCGAATGCATGGCGCATCCCTCAGGGATTGATCAACGCCGAGATCTTTATCCTTTATTTTTTTTACCACACGATTTCGCTACCACAAACTACTACACTGCTGTTCAAACTGAGACATGCAATCATGTACTTTGCTGCAATCATTAGATTTCGTGAAATAAATTTCTACAGAAGGAGATTGTATATAATCCGCATGTTGTGCGTTCGAATGCAGCTCCTCAGTATTGCTTCGTAACTGCTTTTTCTCCCATCAGCGGGGTGAACTTCCGCAAGCCCCCTTCTTATTTTTACACTACTGAACGCGTTTCTAACTAATTTTCAATACGAAGATTTGTTCAAGTATAATTTACACATATCTGGTTCCTCATCATCTGAATGAGGTTGTTCACACGAAATCTAACCTTTTATTGGTGTTCACGCCGGTGATGACGGTATAGAGCGGAGTTTTGTGAATCGGTCCACTCGGAAGTCTTTCCAGTCGGTGATCAACACCTGTTCGTTCTCTTAAACTACGACACCTAAAAGCAAAAAACTAAGTTATTACATATGGAACTTGAAAGAATAGAATATAAGAAAACCGCTAGGGTGTTGTCGGCAAATGAACTAGTGCAGCAGTAACATAGTCAAAAGGCATTTGTTCTACTCTACAAACATCATGAAAGGCCTTCCAGAGTGATACATTCTTATTTTCTTCTTACCGAACGAAAACACAAACACCATACGTAAAGCGTTTAGATAATTTACATCACAAGCATGGACAAAATTCCTTGGGTCCATAAAGCAGGGAAGTTCTTATTAAGGAACTAAAAATTATCACACGGTGTTTATAACTTATACGGCACTTACTTTGGTTTTATGAAAATAATTTACAGAAAGTGTGGAGATTTTTATGAGACCAATTCTTCACACTGCATAGGAAAATGAAAAGCTTTAAATGACCTGCGATGGTGACCAAAAGTGGGTTGCAGATGAGAGGATTGGTTAGAGAGATCCGAGTTGTGCACCGAGCCATCGAGACCCAACTTGGCTAGACAGTCAGCTGCCCGTTCAGCCATGATCATTTTGAGAGCGGCCCACTGTGACTCCTTGGAGGTGGCGTAAATGTCCCTGAAAGGCGAATCACAGTAATATGCAATCGGATTTCGCCTAGACCACAACGAGTTTGCGAGTCATGAAAAAGAGGAACTTCAAGGTGATTTGCTCCGCCTGAGTTTTGAACTAGTGGAAACTTGGCAGCAACTCCTAGTTTCATTACCAACTTCCCACTTCTCTCCTTTTTTAAATATACTTTTTTCGTCTTTTACTCTTTGCTAGAGAACTTAGCGGCGTTTGCTATGAAGAATAAGTTCTTAGTAGTGTCTAAAAAACTGGAATATTAAAGGAACAGGTGGGAAACAGATTCAACTATTGCACTGAGTTGAAACTGTTCTTCATAGGGATATTCCACAGCGCTGACTTGAAAAAACTGCCATAGTTTATCACCGAGCTTCACATTACGACCACATTGATGCGTGGATGATCAAGTGCTTACATTTTTAATCTTTCAATGAAGATTTCACTATTAACGAAAACACAGTCCACAAATGCACGTAGAAACGATTTTATCACAAATGCGTAAAACACGGTGATAGGCTGGCCCCCAAGGAATGGAAGAGAAAGTCCATAGGAGACGGAAGCAGAAGAATATAGAGAAGAGTAGAGAAGCATAAACAACAAAAACGTTGTGGGCATATCTTGTACTACAACTCTACTGACATAAATTCGAAGCTCATATCTCTCGAAAAGCGTCTCTCTGATCTCACTTAGTAAGAACGAATTAAAGGTGAGAGCCGTAAATCTAACCACTAGCTCAGGGAGACAGCGACTCAGAGAAACACACATTCGAAACGAAACATAATTGTGGCTCATTAATAAAAATAAATGGGTTTCTAATGTGATGGAAAGAGTGAATGCATGGCGCGCGAGAATAGCGGTAGAGTAGCGCTCAAGAGAATCCAATCATACTCTACAACGAAAGTCTACAAACCCACACGATATCGGCAACTATCGCCCAATCTGCTTGCTGTTTGTCTTCTACAAACTTCTCACTCGAGTCATCCTAAACAGGATTGACAGAACACTGGACGAAGGACAGCCATGTGAGCAAGCAGGGTTTCGAAGAGGATTTAGTACGATGGACCACATCCACGCGATAACAAAACCCATTGAAGTATCGCGAGAGTACAAAAGACCGCTCTGTCTCTCATCGATTTACAGAAAGCCTTTGATTCAACTGAGATAGAAGCAGTCATGGAAGCCCTTGATAGTCAAGGAGTCCCTACTCAGTACATAAAGATTCTTCGTAAGCTATATAAAAAGTTCATATTGGAAAATACCACCATTCTATGACGACATTAACATCGACGAAAAAGGAGGGGTTAGACAAAGCGATACCATCTCGCCAAAATCATTTACTGCCACCCTCTAGGACGTCACGCGAACACTGGAATGGGACAACATGGGAGTGAAAATCGATGGTCGGCAGTTACACCATCTTTGTTCTGTTGATGACATCGTTCTTGTAACATCAAGCAACGGAACGAATGCTTGCTTACTTTGATAATGCCTGTGGAAAACTCGGTCTTCGACTAAATCTCGTAAAGTCGCTGTTCATGAAGAACGGATTGGTTTCGATTACCCTATTCACGCTCAACGGAATGAACATCTCCGAATGGTTTAGCTACATCTATTTAGTTCGGGAATTCGACATAATGAACGACATAGCTCCAAATACGAGCAGGAGGAAGCTAGTGGCTTGAGGAGCTTTCAACAGCATCAACAATGTAGAGAAGAAAACAAAAACACCCGACTCCGTGCCCACCTTTTCGACTCAACGGTACTTCCTGCCCTAACGTATGCGTAAGAAACCTGGTCGATGCGTAACCAGGATCAAAGATCGCTCAGCGTTCTCGAACGCGCAGTCGAAAGGACGATGCTAGGAGTATCCCGTTTCACACAAATAAAGGATGAGATCTGAAGCTGCGACCTGCGTCAACGATCAAGAACCAAAGATGCCGTTCTGTACGCCAAACCGTCGAAGATAAGGTGAGCCGGACACGTAATGCGTATGAATGACAACTGATGGACAAGAGTCATTAGTGACTGGATTCCTCGGAACGTCAAACGGACTGCAGGAAGACCACCGACCCGATGGCCAAAGTTCTTCACGAGGAGCCTAAAAGAAGGATATGATGCTCGACAAGTCCCTAGAGCGAGAAGAACTTTACTGGGCTACTTGCACGCGACAGGGAGAAATGGAAGGTTTAATGGGCCCTGCTCGAGTCACTCTACGATCAACAGGACGAAAAGCGAAGAGTGACACGCGACGCACATTTTTTCGTTAAGAACTCAAATTTGGGTACAAGACTATGCCATCTTCAGATATCACGTGAGCTGTGGAATAAGAGAGAGTATTTAAGTAGATAACGTAGAAAGAAGTTTAAGAATTCCCAGACGTTTGTGAGGCGTTGAAAGATGAAAAATGAATAGGTTAAAGTACGAAACTATGCTTTTTTCTCCACCTTCCTCCAACTATAATCCAATTTTCTGCAAACAAACAACAGTTCTGCGTTTTAGAAATGTTTTTTAAGAACAAAGCTCCTCTTCTCAAGAGTTCACCGACTTTCTGAGTATGGAATTCCCAAGTCTGTGCTATGTATGGGAGAACGTATTGATTTTAATGGTGCTTATTTTAAATCACGGGTTTCCCTTCAGATTTAATCGTGGATGTTAAAAGAACGGTGATTTTAAATCAAGAGTTTGACTCTGGATTGAATGATAAATCTTCAAAGATCCACTACGAAGAGCAACACAAATTTCAGAATAACCTAATGACCTACATTTATACTACTTCTAGATGACATACTAATAAAGAGGTACATTACAACCTCCTCGTATAAAAGCATATCGCGCTAAATGAGACCATTTCATTCGAACGATGCTCCACTCAGCTATATTCGACTCGATACGACTACGAAGACCCACATCACGAAGAAGAACGACTGCGGACCATCGATTCAGATCAATCGGGTTTGAAGGAGACAAAGACGCCAAAACGTCACCCAAAAAAGAGTTTATGTAACAACCTCGTGTAAGCTCATCAATGAAGCGACTAAATCTACAATAATAGTCGGAAAGAAAACGCATCATGAGAGAGATTAGCGATAGAAAAAAGACAGCATTCGGAAAAGATACTGGATAGACTCCATCGCTCATGAGCTTCCTACAAACGGTAAGTTTGGTGCAAAAAAATTATGTTCAGTGAAGAATACTTTCCTTACTTTCGCGCCCTGCAAAAAAAAGGCAAGAGTAAAACGTTAGCTTGAATGTTGCCTAGTAAAGAAGTCAACATTTTCGGGTCAGAACGAGTCTTTCGAAAACCTACTTCTCTTATTTACAGTTCACTACTACTTCTTCACGACAGGGTATGATGTGAAATACTTAGATCGCTTTGATGCTTAGATATTTGCAGAACTTGGACTCCACACCAGATTCGAAACAGCGATTACCTTTTCTGCGGACTCACGTGTTACCCAATGAACCACTGAGGTCTTTGCTTGGCTTCCTCTCAGACAGTTTTCTACCTAACGGTGCAATCAGGAATTATCTTTCGACAAATGCAGATAATTTCTCGACAACTAGCCAGCCATTTCTAGACAACTTTGAGGAATCGCGATCTCAATAGACTTGTACAAGAGATTACACAAGAGATTACGTTCTATTGCTCAAATATTGCAAGAGACTGCTGCCAATCATTTATTCCGGTAATGCTTCGACGTCTTCACCGTCTTCAGAACCGAAAATCCCAGTCGATGGTCCACGATGTTCATCTTCTGGATGTGGCATCTTCGTCTTCGTATCGAATCGGATCATTTTCAGAGCAGCACCATTCGAATGAGGATCCTCACCCAGCAGCACTTTCTTGCAGAGCGGTTGGTGTTGATAACGACTAACCCTTGACCATAATTTCTTTTTCAATGGATAATCCATCCTGTAGCAGTCCATATTATGTTAGCTAACACATTGCGAATAGCAAAACAATTTCCAAACTGACCATCCTTTAACCTCAGTAGTAATAATCAATACCGACTGCTGCAGAATGGGTTATCCAATGAAAAGCAAATTATTATCAACGGATAATCATTACTAACAATAACCGTCCTGTATAAAAACAGTGCTGACGGATGAGGTTGTTTCATTCGAGCGGTGCTCCACTGCAGGAGATTCGACTCGACGCGATGGTGAAGATATTACATCGAGAAGACGAAAGACGGTGGACCATCGAGCCGGATCATCGGCTCCGATGAAGACGAAGACACCTGTATGTCAGCCCAGTAAATGATTGGTAATAACCTTGTGTTAGCTTTTAAATGAAATATGACACCTTAGCCATCATACCAAGGTTAAATGAAAATCACCTCACAGTAGTATTATAAGACAATTCAAATTATTAAGAAAAATTGAAAAACAAATTAAGAACTTGGTAATACAATTTTAAACGTGAGCGTAGCAGTAGGAAGTACTAACGACACATTCGAGCGAGCCATCGAAGGCTGCCAAACGAATTCGCCACCACTTCGCCACTTGAAACACGAATCTCGACAAAAAAGAAAAAGAAAAACGATGCGGATCGAAAAAACCACGACGTCATCGTCGGAGATTACGGAAAGTCCCACCATCTTCACGAAAAAGTATGGATTACAATGGTTTCTATTCTTACACCTGATATGATTTTTTACGTGACCTGTCTTCACTTCTACTGTGCGGATCGCAGCACATCTCACACTGGATTCGTTTTTTCGCATTCATTTTACACGAAGATCTACCACCTTTTGCATGTGACTTCGGTTGCTGCTTGAGGATTTTCATTTTATCTTGAATGTCGTAGAGTGCCGGTCAAGCAATTCTCCCTAGAGTCCTGAGATAGCAGGACTGGAGCGTTTCCAGTTGGATTGCCGAAAGTGATTTTTCTTCAGATAAGTCTGGTGCGAATTTCCCGACCTCGGAGGGATGAGTGGCTTGGTTGCCCGAAGCGGAATCGAATTATCACCATGCTCGTGATGACGGACACCACTATCACTATGCTCTCCCCTTATATTATATGCTGGTCTAAAATTCAAAAGAGAGATTACTTCCGGTTTTGTGCGCCTTGAAATTAAAGCACATTGGCGGAAGTGTGTTAAGCTTTTTCCACAGCATGGTATTCAAGGGAATACTATTGCACCGCTTAAATCACGAATCTCTCACAAAAGATTAGGTTGCAAATGAAACTATAAATGACATATCATCTCGAAACCTATCTGGAAATCTAATTTAAACTGTTTTGGTGTAAATCAGGCACACGAGATTAATGCTAAAGCGCTTTAAAGCTGCCAGACTGCTAGCCTGTGAAATCCGAAAAGAAAAAGAATTTTACGTCCTGTCATACAGTGTTCGATGCCGCCTATCCAAATATGAGTTGAAATGGTTCGTTTACATGCAATTCGGAATGACAAGTGAAATAAAAACCTGTTAGGGACGGCAGTTCTAACATTTCCACTGTTCTCCACATCGATCTAAGCAAGGGTGCCGGAACGAATAGATGTTATGAAACAGGAGTCAAGAAAAGCAAGGAGAAAGCCGCTGACTGACGAAGCTCTCAAGCGGTATTTCCAGCCCTACGGAAAACCATTTAGCAGGCTTCAAGACCAGAAAACAATGAAATCTGCCGACGGGAGATGAAATTCGATGAAGCCGGGACTGAGACCGAATAACAAAGGAAAGAATCAATGTTTCCTTCCAAGGCAAAGCTGCAAAGGAATCGAAAAAAATCGATTTGAAGTATTTTTAGAGGTGAAAAAATAAGAACAGATTGTTCAGACGGAATTTCTATTATAAGCTCCCGTTTATTAGGAAGAATAATAGGAAAGAGTGAGAAAAGACAAACTTAGTTTTAACGTAAAATATGGTTACGATATCTGCTCGATACGGTACTACTTATATCCGAAGACCGAGAGAGAATAGAGAGGTTGCAAAACTGGAAGCAGTTTGAAGAAGTCGAAATGTATAAAAGATGCTCGTTTTATCTGTAAAAATTTCCCGACGTCATTCATATGCAAGAAAAGGTACATCGAGATGTCAGCCCGAAGAGTAAGATGGTGTTGCAAAGAACATCGTAAACCCAGAAAGGTTCAGACATTTGGCTTTTTCAAAACCCGTTTCAGTTAAGGGGGTTTGCGAAATTTGACGTCTTCAACGAATGGATTTTCCATGCACTTCACTAGTAGATTACCACAACTTTGGCGCTGTTCATTTGCTTAGAAGTGCGACAGTATTTTAGTGCTCTTAGGTAGAGTGTGGGCGTGTAATACAGAATATGCTCGCAAGCGCTTGGAAATCGATTGCAAAACAGCGTCTGAGCAAAGGAAATGCGACGAGTTCGTTCACTGGTAACGCTATCTGACTGGCTGGGTGGAGCTGGGACATATGCGAGTGGCACCTGGCTTTTTTCGATCGGCTCCAGTGGGGGATGAAGAGCACTCCAAGCACTCCGAGAACGACGACGACGGAGAGCGCGAGTGCTGCTATCTTCTGCGTCAATCCACGAGATGCCGCCTCTGGAATGGTGATAAGTGAATAAATCTTCTGTCCACTTCGAATTCTTCAACAACGAAAACCACAGAAACGAATATAAAACACAGAAAATATCGAAGCAGACTGTAGTTTTAGGAATTGAGGGAAACGTTGAAAACATTAAAAGCTAAATAGCATATAAAGTGTTAGATTTTGCATGTTTCATCCATACCTTCAACGACAATCCACCAGGACTATTACTGCAGATTTTAAAGTCCCATTATTCTTAACTACTGTGGTCAATTTCTTGGCTCGCAAAGTGCAGCCTTCGTAAACGAGGACTATTTTCAAAGAAACTATGTTCCAAGTAACTCATAAAAATACTCTTAACAAAATGTCCTTTGAAGAAAATTTTAAACAGAACTTTCCTTTTTGATTTTATTCCAAACTCGACATGGATTAGAACTTCTGAGAACAAAACGGAGTAAATTGGAGAAATAGCGGTAATTGACAGAGATGAAGCTGTGAGGCGCCGCCACAGTGCGGAGGTGGAGTGTGTGCGTGCCGAGCCGTTCCCTTTCACTGTTCGGCTTCGCCGAGCCCACGACGAGAGTTCATAAGCAAGAATTCGTAATCGAGGATACGCAATCGATAACGGTGGAGAACGAGCGGAACTTTTGCGCAAAGATGGGAAACCCTCTGAGTAACGACGGGGTTCGGATACACGTGGTAAATGCTGACCTCTAAGCGATGTCATATCGCTGCCTCAGTGGAAAGCAGTTGAAACAGTGGAAAGAGTGGTTTAAGAAAGATGGGCAAGGAAACAACGTCTGTAAAACACGGAAAAGAAACGATATTAGAAAGAACGGGTTGCTTCGCCAACAACCCCAGCGCTCTCTCACTGCAAACTGCCTTGTATTCTTGTTTTAAGACGCAAGACTTTTCCACCATATACTCAGCAATTCCATCAAATGCACAAAATATTTTAAGCCAGAATAATCCACACAAACTCCTGGATTAATGTGAATAATAAACAATTCTTGGTAAACACACGAAATGGATTTGGACCGCGGATTTCAGCCTTAGAATTTGAGCCTCTTACTTCGATAATTACATGGAGGGCCTGTCCTCACCGGTTGTGCGAGCCCCAGCGCATTCTCCAATTTTCGGAGTTTTGCTGGACTAGCCACTGTGGTTCCCTGGAGTCCCGAGGTCCACCTGGCCAAAGCCTGCGCCGGATGGTCACCACCACAGACAGTCACCGCCCTTGTGGATCAGAGAGGAGAGAATCTGAGTCTCAGAAGTGAGAAATTAATCGAAGCGATTTCATAGATGTTTTTCTCGGTTGTTCGTTGAGAGGCAATAAACCATCTGCTAAAAACAAGTATGGGAGTGCTTATAGCAATCCCAACACAATATTTCACTCACCTGTAATTTAGCAGATGCTACGAAAGCAGCGCTTCTTGAGGTGAAAACAATGAATAGATAGAAAATAGGATATAAGTGAAGAACGAAAAGGAAAAAAGAAGGAATGCGATAATGATGGACAGGGTAAATAATAGGCAGGGCGACTGAATAAACACTATCCATTTTCGACCTTACATAAGTAGCCAAAATATAATACAAATGCAAACGACTGAGAGTCACTTTCGCTAGGCGGAGACTTCGGAAAGAAAACCGGGAAAAAAAGGAGTTGAAGAGGGAGGAAGAGAGAAAAGTGCGACCGGAAGTCGCTGACAGCTGGTGCAGCGCAATAAAATTCATTTTAAAAAAACCCACATAACTCAGAAGTGATTAACTTCTTTCCTTCTAACATATTCACTCGATACTTTAGCACTGTGAATGGGTAAACGTAGAAATTTTAAAAACAGCACGAGATGAAAAAATTGAAACCAAAGATAAATAACCCTACCTGTAACGACAACCTCGCTGAAATCGGTATCGGAAAAGAGATTTGGGGCTGTGAATAGTCTCAGTTTGAACTTGTAGTTGGTAGCAGCCTTCAACGGACCATTACATACGGTATCTAGTGGAAGGTCCCCGCACGACTGATCCACACCGACTGCCTGAAAAGCGAGTTCTCCATGACCACGATGAGAAGTTGGAGATTAGAAGTTAGGAAAAATAAGTGAAGTCTCAGCGAACGAACGACAGTCTCTTAAATCAGTAACATTTTTGATGACACTATTCAAAATTCATACCTCCTTGAAGGAACACATTAATACCAATAGTCACAATGATGCTGAGATATTTGCAAAGTCCGGACCGCAGGTGTTTGTGGTGGGGAACGAACACGCTATTACTCTTTCCGGGGGCTAACACGTTCACCACCACATCATGCGGGTTCTTGAGTGTTTAACTAAGTTCAATGCCGATTTGGGCTCCTCAAATCAATTCCGTTGATGGGTGGTTGCTGGTGGCAATATCAGCAGTCATCGAATTAAAAAAGCATTGTTCATGTCTGTTAGCTGTCAATATCATATTTCAAGCGCTCAAATGCATCTCCAGAATGCTCCAGAATCTCTTGTAACTATTTTTACTGTTGTAGCGATTTTCTATGAGCGACCCAATTTTAGAACAACTTGGTGTTAAACTCCGGCCGAAACGAAATATTCAAAATGAAAAATCTTTCTAAAGGAGATAGGTAGGATCGTCTATTTGATCAAAGCGTTTCGTCGTTAGAATTACTGTAACAACCCATCACTAATGAAGTCTTTACTAATTAAACTAAAAGCGATACATTTGGATGACCTTTTAGAATATCAGTGACCAAAAATCGTGCAAGTTGGCATTCCAACATCACAGAAGTCAACGTTGAAAATGTAGTTCACAGGACAGCATAAATTACTTGCCGAGTTGCCGGGACACAAATTGCAGGCTGCAGCTCTAGAATGTCCTCGTTGTAGGTGTACTATCTGACCAGTCACAAAAATCTACTTGACTAGAACACGTATTATTAGCATTACAGTTTTGAATTTTTAACGCCTCTGCGTTTAACTGCCATCTACCTAGCAAAGCGTATAGAATTAAAAATTGCTAGCCAAGGAATAACAATAATGCAGCAACTCAATGGTTCATCTTTTCACCACAGAGGCAAACCGTTCCTGTGTGTCGAACACCAATTTAGACCAGCGATGCATCACCTCATGGCCCAACCATTTAATCTTAAACCGTAGGCAATACCTACAGCTGCTTTCGATCCAACCTATTGTCAAGAAGAAAAGCTTTCCTCCGACCAATAAGCGTAGGCGACCATTTGTAGTCAAAACTGGGAATGCGCTGGTACATTAGGACTCGAGGGGAAAAGCCTCAAACGACTCATTGCGAAGACAGATTATCCAACTAGTTTACGATACTCCCCGTGAATCTCAAAATAAACGATATTAAGCTAACAAATGCGTAGGCGCGGTTGCGTGCATGAGGATAATGTCTTGCACTTTAGTTGGGCGGAAGACTCCAGATAAGCTGTCTTGAGGTTAAAAAGAAATTAGTTCAAGATTACGTTCAGCAAGGAAAGCCATAAGCCTACTTTTGGAAAAGTAAACAAACTATTCGAGGGTGATCTCTCGTAGAAAAGTGGAAATAAAACTTCAATCAAAAAAACTGCTGCGAAAAATTGCACGCATAAAAAAAGCTTCACATGAAGAATATACGGCTTAACATATTCCTTGAACAAAAAGAATTGACGGCTCTTGAACGCCACAAAGCAGGATGGAGCCACTACTAATGATGCCCTCTCCTGCTATTCGATGATTAACAGGAGCAGACACTGTACAAGTAAATATGGTCATAATGTAGAAATCAGACATATTGGTGAGTTTCTTTAAGACAGGTAAAGTGTTTTTCTCGGATAACCCTTCAACGTTGTTTATAGGTCCATCTTGACGTTTTCATCCGTAAGTGCTGACATGTGAGTCTCTTTCATCCATTAATTTTCCCATTAGGGTCGTCCTCTCGTTGCGATGTGGTTCTCATTAGGCCTACGTTTGCAGTGTTAGCATCCGCATAAATAGAACGGCACAAGTATAAAGGAATGTAGGAAACTGTGTAAGATATTTGAAGGCAACATAGAAATTCAGCCAGTACTTACTTTAGTAAAAGGGTAAAGGATAAAGCTCTCAGCGTTAATCAATCCCTGAGGGAAGCACCATGCATTTGACTTCATTAAGCATCGACTGAATGCATATCTGGCATTTGTAGTAACTCGCGGTGGCGTAGCGATGTATCGCCCCAATGCTGCTATCCTCCCAGACAAGTCTGGTAGCAATTCGCCCACCCCGGAGGGATGGAAGGCTTGGTGGGCCACATGGGCGTGAGTATCGATTCAACGTGTGTGTTGAAGGGGCCTCTCCGATCACTGCGCCACACACGCCCTTCATTTACTTTAATAGTAACGAAAATTTATTACTCTTGAATATTAACTAGCCGCTTTGTCACAGAATCTTTTTTCGAACGAATTCAACTTCAGGAGGGCGCTGTCTTATCACATTTCAAATTCCTACGACTTCAAGAATGCGACGAAAATAGGAAGGAAGCAGACAGGCCACCTAGACTACCACTGTTTAAACGATAAAGATTGGAAATATCATTGGGTCTACCCGAACGCTATCAACGTTCAGAACTACTCGGACTCACTTTATGTCACTTTAACGTGCAAGTAATTCGAATAATGAGAAGGAAAATCGCTAAAAGCTACATATCAAAAGTGTGAGCTGGAAAAGACTTAGGAAAAATATAAGTAACTGAATCGATACCTGATGGAGAGACGGAGTGGCCCTCGATTTGGGTTCATCTACAGCGGCTGTGTACAGAGGCCAGACGTCGAACCGCTGCACTTGCATCCACGTCTAAAAAAACCCGCTCAACTCCTTTCTACTTATTTTACAACCAGCATGGCTAAAAAAAATTACTACACTAGAAACAAGACATCTAAACGCTCTACGCGTACGGTGAGTGAGATGATGGAAGGAACGAAAGAAAGTAGGTGGTTCAACAATGCAAAACCTTTGTAGGTTTTTCAAAAACGGCCTTTTTAGCACCACTAAGTAAATGATGGTGATTTATATCAAACAAAAAGTGGAGACGTTTAAAAAATGGATTGAAAACAAAAACACAACGTCTTACTTTAATAGACCAATTTAAAACTAAAATTAAATCAAATTAAAATCAAATCAAAATTGCTCCATTAAAGTATTCCAAATGCTTCCACAATGCATAATTTTTTATTTATTCCCTATTATTTTTTTTAGACAGGATATCACGTGAAACGCAACCACAGTGATGCTGAGATAGTCGCAAAATTCAAACCCCACTCCAGATACGAACCCGTGATAAATGTTTGCTGCCTGTGGTTTATTAAATCTCTAGGAAGACTTATTATTTTTTCTCTTTTTCTTCTTATTCCTAATTGTTTATGTTTGTCTGCTATCATTTTTATATCATGATTAGCCCGAAAAAACGTACGTATGTGTCGTTTCCGGCATTCAACCAGATTTCGCTAACTTGTCCGTCTTCCGTTACTTCAGCTACCAGCAGTGCACTCCTGAATTGAAAGTTTTTAAATGACAAGCATTTTTACGTATTTTTACTAAACATGCACATATAATAAATAAAGGAAGTTGGAAAATAACTGAAATATTAAGAAATTCAGCTGAACTGCACGCGCCATAGATGGAGTATACAGTGGAAGGAACAAGGAAGGCCGGTCGTGAAATAAGAGAAGTTACGACCAAAAAGGGCAAGAAAACGCAGCGGTAACAGAAATTATGCAAGAATATGTAGGAAAAAGCATAACGAGGCCCAAAACATAGCGAGAAAACCAAATCGTAAAGGGATGAGTGAAAATGGAATGACTGGATGACCTGACAATCTTGCCGTGTTTTGCGTTAAACATGATTGGCGAATATTTGACAGTCAAAGAATAGCTGGTGATCGAATTGCTGTCCACTTTCGGCACCGCTGCTGTACGGGGAGGCGCTGAAACATCCGAGCTCGTAAATATTACTCTTCTAAAAACTTTGAAGAAAATGTTCCATATGCCTCACTGAATGGTTCATCAACGCGTTAAGATCTTGTAGTCGTTAATGACAAAATTTTTCCTCTTTCGATCACAGTGATATTTTGGCGCAAGCGACGAGAATGTTTTCTCCGGTTATTATTTCCATTTTATAGTTAAAATAATCTCTCTCTACTGAACGACCTGACGAAGTCCAAGTCAACGCATTTCCTGTCTTTGAAATTTCTGTCCGCTTTAGCACTTTGTTCAATTTGAACAAGTCATAAGCAAAAAAGTTTACGAATTTGGTTCCTAAAGAAATATCCCACCCATAATTGGCATTTTGATGAAATCGGGCGGCACAGTATGCGGCTCACCAGGTCCGGCTTCAGTTACTGCACGAACCACAAAGTTGTACCTGAAAAAACAGCCGCCTTGAAGTATGGAAGAAGAAGTTACGCAGTACTCTCTCATCGCCGCTTTTAAAACGCTTACCGCTCCCCGCCCGACAGCCCGTCAATGACCGTTTCCAAGAAGTGGTCGGATCGGTTTGTAGCCGTTCCCACAATGATAGATCGCGAATCTACCGAAGTGTCCTAGAACCAATTGAATTTCTAAAACTGGACCGACACTCCGACAGATTCCACTAAAACAACATACAGTATTACCTACCAGAAATTATTCGCTATCGAAAGCACCTTGAACATCTGAATCGCCAGATTATTCGTTTAACCTAATTTTCAGAAAAAAAAGTTGCGGACATTCTATTGAATTTTAGGTCACAATTTTGTTATCTAACAGAAACATGTGTGGTTGATCGCATGAAGAGCTAACATTGTCTCTTCTGGTCGACATCAAGTGATTTCATCTCAGCGCACATACAAAACCTTATTGAAATAGCCTTGGAATAAAGATGAGGTTTAATCGGTATTGTAGACTTCTTAAAAAATATCACTTTAGACCGAAACAGACTAAACTTTTGCTGATTATCGATGAAGAAACATATTCGTTTTTAATGACAAATCATCTAAAGATGGATGTCGGAAAAAAAGTTCCACTAGAATAATCCTCAATTTGTGTACCGCCAATAGCCAAGAAATGTTTAAATTTTAGTGTTTTGAGATAAAAAATCCCTTCAAAAAACTAGGGTACTTGATAACCGATACTCGAATGACCTGTCCTCATTAGTTGTGCGGGCCCCAGCATGATCTCCATTTTTTCCGAGATTTGCTGGTTAAGCCATTATGGTTCCCTGGAATCCCGAGGCCAGCCTGGCTAAAGTCTGCTCCAAGTCTTCACCACCACAGGCAGTCGCATCCCTTGTGGATCAAAGAGAGATTTGCACCATGCGACTAATTTGATTCCAGGACGGTGGTGAATCCTGGTATTCGTTTACTCTTAGTTAGGCTTCCTGATGGAAACGTCGGACATCTTCTCAGCTTGGGAGATCTTGCCAGAGGGATGAAACCCGCCGCTGTACATCGGAGTACAACCCAGGAACATCTCTCAGCCACGATGAGACAATAAACTGTTAGGAGGAAACTGGAGTAAAACTAACAAGATATACATTACGGTGTCCAAAATGACGATAATTCACTGGCCGAGAGGAAGGCAAAGCAAGGGCCTCAGTGGTACAACGGCAAACACGTGAGCCACCGGAAGTGGTAGGCGCGGGTTCGAATCTGACCTGGACCCAAGTTTTTGCAAATATCCCACCATCATTGTGGCTGTATTTCACATCATATCCTGCCGTGAAAAATAATCGGCAGTAAATTTCAAACGGGATATTTTCACATATTTTAAGGCAATACCTCATGTTCCACACTGATAACGTAGTGCGTCAAAATTCCGTTGGGCAAAGCTGGTGGCAACCACTTCACCTGCACCGAGTACGGATTCAATGCGGACACTGCAAGCACGAGCACGAAATTATTCGATCAAATTTTACATCAGCAAAGTCGCATTGGCAGCACTGATAAAATGGTCGAGTAAATGAACCTGAAGCTGATAGCACTGGCCCTGGCTTGTCCTGCATAGTAGAGAAGCTCAACTGTCGTAACGAACGCACCGCCGGCTTGCATTCAAGTGGTCCTGATGAACACGTGATCTGCAAAGATGCAGTGCGCTGTTGGGAAATTCGACAACCATTTCAGTACTACTGTCAACTTGTCTTCGGATTCAAAACATCATCAAACGAAACCATCGAAGCAGTTTTTTCTTATTAAGCCCAAAATAAGATGGAAAATTGCCATTTTAGCCCAATGACAAAAACTCGCAAGAAAAGGACTGATGAACCCAAGTTCACGGAGTAGTGGGCAATTCATTGGGTAATTATAACTTTATATCATATTTTCCCATGAGGTCATCAATACAATCACTATGAGCCTAACCACATGGTCGGATACTGCAGAGGAGGAGTTTTCGGCAGAGGCAAAACTGTTACAAAATAAAACTCATAATCACCATGGAAACTCATGTTTATACTTGTTTTATATATTCGTGTCGATACTCCAATTAGGCTCGCTTCATTCAAAAGAATAACAATATTGAGCAATTGTTTTTATCCTCAAGATGTTATTTTTTTCTTTATTTTTACGCGACTCGTCTTCACATCTATTGTAAGAGACCCAGCACTTCTCGCATCCGATTCGTTTCCTCGTACTCATCGTTCGTGAAGGTCTTCGAACTTTTTGCATGTGGGTTCGACTGCTGGTTGAAGATTGGCTTCTTCTTTGTAAACATCGTTGAACTCCGGTCAAGCCTGTTATCCCTCGCGTACCATTGATTGCTAGGCTGATCGCTTAGATTGGTGGTGGTGGGTCGTAAGCCTAGATGGAGAGGCTCTAGCGAGCATAGTGCTTGTGATGAACGGTATTACTACCACTATGCTATCCGCCCTCTGGCGATAAAAATGGAATATTCCAATTTGATGAGAAACGTCTGAAACTATGCACAGTCAGAAAGTTCTGATTGTCATATTCTTTCGATAAGGACCATTATTGATTAATGCAAGAATAAAACTCATGACTCAAACCTTCGCATTTAAAGAATATTTGTGATAAGGACGCAAGCCATTGAGCTTTATCTCTGACAAGACGTTGCCGTGAGCCTTTTGAGTCTTGTCGAGCACCACATGCCCGTGCATATCGATCACGACAACATTCAGCTCAGATTGCGGATCAGGATTGTCCTAAAAATCAAACGATCAGGGTGGTCTCAGTAGCACTGGCACGAAAAAACCAACATCGTAGGGGAACACCAAGTGAAGAGTGGCAGATGTCTGCGTGATCGAGTGAACGGACATGTTTACTCCAGGAGGGGACATACGGAAATACTCGTTGAACCTCGTCTCTGACACAATGCCCGACTTTGTCACAGTGAAGATTTGAATCTGAAAGAATCTGATGATCATAATTGGCTTAAGGAAGGAAAGCTGAGTCAGTAGAGATTTCGATTCCATAAAAATGTTCGTCGATAAACCTACAGTAGAACAAATCTTTCATGTACCGCACTACTTCAAAATTCTTGGAAAAAAGCGATGTAATAATTTCGTATTCTATATTCTATTACAGTTCTCCTTCGAGTATTCTAACCCTCCGATAAAAGGATAAAGCTCTCGGCGTTGGTCAATCCCTAAGGGATGCACCACGAGTCATTATAAAGGCCAGACATGCATTCGACTTCACTAAGCATCGTCGGAGGTTATGGAATGTATGTCTGGCCTTTATAATGACTCGTGGTGGCCCACCTATGCATCGAGCCAGTGCTGCTATCCATCCAGACAAGTCTGGTACCAATTTGTCGACCCCGGAGGGATGGAAGGCTTGGTGAGCCACGGGCGCAGGGATCAATTCCACGTGTGTTGAAGGGAGCCTCTGACCACTTCGCCACACGCGCTCTACCGTCCGATATAAACCACAAATAGTTTCCCATAACAGGAAAGGCTCCGAAAAATCTTAACTACGACCGTTTTTGGTCAACTGATGAACCGAAACTGATTCCAAGACACCAAAGTGTAGAAAAGCTACTTCGTATTTTAGGACTTTGACTACCAGTATATTACCTTTGCTTTCATTATTTATTCGGATGAATAAAGTATACACGAACTGATTTGTTCGTCAAGCTTCGCCTCGTTCACACAAGGAAATTATTGCAACAAAGCCCATTTAATGGAAATAAAACGCCTAAAACATGAAGTTCCTCACCTTATAACAGCTGCCTTTTCTCAGTGACCCAATGTAAAGAGAGGTAGCATTGTATGGATCGCCATGCAATCGACGCCCCTTCCCCACACCATCAGTGGGGAACAAACGCATCTGAAGTTGAGACGCCGGTCCTACCACCTGAAACCACACGAGTGCTAGAGAGATTTCTTCAAAAGACGGTATTTTAGGACTTTCTTTGCTCCAGATATCCTTTATCCGTGCCATGAATACATCGCTTTGCGGCCACGACAACTCAACACCATTTCTCAGTTCCTATAAATAAAGCAGTGGCACTAACTCAACTCTGTCGCCATCTAATTATTATTCGAATTCTATAGTAAGCCCTGGGTATTTAGACAAAAAGCTGCACTTTCTCACTGTGGATTAAATCTGCTGACCTGAAGATTTAAGCCGAACGCAGCCATATCGAATGCAGGAGTCAGTACAACACTTCGATAAAGTTTTGAGCTGCTCACATTATGGGAAAAAGTAGAAAGAGTAAACTCGAAGCGGTCACCCGGAAACAATGGAAGCAGAATCGAACATCTGAAGGTGCTCTAGGCATATGAAAAAAATGTTGAATGAACAGAAAATAATGTTGAAAGCTATTAGCAGTCCAAACGGGAGTATGTTCCCAAGCTTCTCTGTATCAGCAAATTTCCTTTACTAATCAGCAAAGGGACGGAGCACCGGTGGCGCAGTGGTCGGAGGCGCCCTGCAACACACACGTGGAATTGATCCCGAGTCTATGGCCCACCAAGCCTTCCAACTCTCCGGGGTCGGCAAATTGGTACCAGACTTTCTGGAAGGAGAGCAGCACTGGCTCGATGCATTAGTAGGCCATCGCGAGTCATTTTAAAGGCCAGATATGCACTCAATCACTTCCAAACGAAGTTTAATGAAGGCGAATGAATGGTGCATCCCACAGGGATTGATCAACGGCTACAGCTCTATCTTTTTTTTAATCATCAAAATATGATGTATACGATGACTTACTACGGAATATGATAGAAAAATCATTAATTCCCTGCATGTGAATTCACCACCGATAGTTTCACTTTGAAGTATTTGAAGCATTAAATCCCGTTAGCTTAGAGCAGTTGCCGAACACGAAGTGCTTCCAATTCGCTTTCATGATACAAACGAATTTTTTTGTGCGGATCTCAGCACTTGTTTCGATTCCTTTTCCTCGCATCCGCCATTCATGAAAATTCTCGAACTAGCGTATGGCTTGCTTCCTTTTTCTTCATGAATATCGTTGACTGATTGTCGACTAGATCCTTTCGGAAATCCTGAGATAGGTATGATAGAATGTCCACAAGTTTCACCACTAGAACTCCCTAACTTTTGCGGATCACACGGAGCTCTTCATAAACAGGCATGGTAGCAAATCGTCGACCCAAATGAGAAAGAAGGCTTGATTGGTGCACTGCAAAGTCGAACAGCTCGGTGCTTAGTCGAAAATGGTTGGCTTGGTTCCGCTGGCTCGCAGCCGGGTCGAACACGGCCGACTCGAAGTTGGAGCGAACTTCGTTAACTCGCTGCCTGGTTGAACATGGTTGGCATAGTGCCGTCTCGATCCGTGAGAGTGTACGTATTACTAAACGGCGCTCATAACCACATTCCTCCTTACGCCCATCTAAATTCATTAGTTTGAGAAAACACACTTCTTATTCGCGCCCTCTTCACTTAACTTCTCGGACTGCTCGATTTTTTCCAACGTTTCACTAACAACGGACACGCGACATCCATCATAATACGATGTCGAGTTTAAACCAAACATTAATCGATATTTTCCTTTCGTGATATCGGGAAAAATCTGAAAATGGCAGACTTATGTCCATCGAATCTCAACCAATCTCACAAAGAAAGATTTCACAGTCATCGCAATAAACGTAGAACAGAAGTGAGAAATGTCAGAAACGGACCTTGAAGTCTTCAGGACTTAAAGGACGAACTGTGTAGGACACAGTTTTCTCCTCTGATCGACTCAATCCTTTTTTCACTACTATTGAAATTATGTAGATATAACCAGGAACAATGTTGTTACACAAGTGAACTGAACGGTCCGTCCGAGGCAATGTTATCTGCATGGAAAAAATATTCCTTCGAAGTTATTATCCAAGGAAAGAACTAAGGAACTAACGCTAGTGTTCGACACTACATCCATTTTCGAATACCGTATTAAGAAGGAGTCCGCACCACTATTTGCAGGAAGTTTCCACTCGACGGTCAAACAGGAAATGCCAGTCTCGGATACGGTAAGATTTGACACAGAATCTGGTTCTGCAAACCAGTTTTACAGAGGTAGTATGATTGGAAGTGGAGAAACGAAAGTAGAAGTAGGTAACATCAATTGTATAGAATAAAAATAGATAAAACAAAAACGTACCTTAAGAATGAAAATGGAATTAGAGAACACATTTAACGTGCCAAGAATAAAGAAAGATGCCAACTAACTTGTAGAAAGTGTGGCAGACCACGGCCTGCTCCTTAGTCCAGACTTAACAGCAATCACTTTAACAATATAGTCCTGACCAGGATTAAGATTCCCTAAAAATAACTAAATAACTTCATAAAATACAAACGACTAAGGATGCGCTTCTTTTTCTTAACTACCAATGTAAATTTCGAGATTTTTCTGCTCGGGAATATCGAGAACTTCCAGAACCGGGTAGCGTTTATCTGGTTCCAGCTGTCGGTACTCCACCAGAAACAAGTCCTGAAATTGTTAAATAACTGAGTTTAGAAAAGTCGTTCGGCATCCATAATTATTCATCCCATAGCAAATCACTGAATACAATCATTTTTGCATCAAACTCGGTAACAGTCATCCCTTCATATAGAGATGGTTCCAAAGAATACTAAGGAGAATCCTGAGCTAAGAAAGGAGGACCATGAACTCGCAACCAGTGGCTGAGATAATACATTTGATATTCTCTGAGTTTATTAAAGGGATATTCACCCTTTGGCAGAGTGCTTCGGCAAAAAGTTTTCCGGCAAAGCGACGATGTCCTCGTAAATCACAAGATGCAACAAAATATTAACCTAATAGCAAGAAATACAATTAGTAATTCCAAACAAACGCCAAGTCACGCGAAGACGAGATCAAATTTGCGGTCTATAAAAATCTACTAAGAATCTCTCACACTTTGTAACTATATAACTATGAACCTATGGCAGTGTCCAAGACCTGATCATTACAATCACTAATGACAAAGATATACCCAATTCTATCTTAACGCCGTGCAAAGGACAATGAATGAAAACAATATGCGGATACACAAAACGTCCTCAATCTTCGGTGGAAGGTAAGTCTTGTTACCATATACATACTGTAGACGACGTTTCACTCGCAAATTCGTCCACCATTAGTGATTTCGACAGCACAAAATTTTCTCGCCTTGCCTGGTCGGACTAGCAAGTACAATCACAAGGTGCTGAAAAGTGACCAAAACTCGGAACATCAGTTAGGCTTCGAACCTGCGATTACCCTTTGCGGATCCTACGAGCTATCCATCACACCAACCAAGGTCCTTGCATCGCCTTTCTCTCAGCTAGTTTTGTGTTTTACTTGGAAGTGCTACTCATCATGTGTTTAAATTTCTGAGCTTACAAGAGGTTGATCTCATGCAAGCTCAACAATTGTTCTGTTGGTCATTTTGTTACCGAGGTTAAACGAAGACAGGCTTCAAATTTATTGTTGTGACATTCATCAGTATGTGAAACTGCTTACGAGTACGAACCGAACATTTTCTATAAGATTAACTTAAGAATGTGAAGAATGTGACACACAAATAAACTCCTGAAAAATCGTTATCAACAAGTTGAATTCAAGTAAATCATAGGCCAATGAGCAGAAATAAGAAGACCGAAAAGTTGGTAATCGGAAATAGAAGTAAAAGTTCCCAGGACCGACTTTCTATTAACCTCGGCACTGGAATATGAATGTGTCGTTTTCTTGTTCAGCAATCGCGAGGTTTTTAAACAGCATACATTTACTTCCATAGAGAAACACAATACAATACAACACTAGCTGACGTTTCGGCAGTATCGCCTTCTTCAGAGCCTGGAAGGGCATGCTGATATACAATCTACTAGGCCAAACGCTTCAATAACACTTACAAAAAGACGAAGAACTCTCCGGTAATTACATAATCAACAACTTCTTGAAAAAACCCTTGAAAAATAGAACAGCATGAATTTCACTGGGTACTTGCGAAAGTACGTCGCTTAATACTAAGTATGCGACGCCTAAATCAGTTTCACTTAGTAAATATTTCTGCCTCGACACAGTCGCTATGAGTAAGCAAATGCGATAGGTGAGTTGTTACTGGTGCCAATCTGTCACTAACAAACGACTCCTCTCTGTAGTTCGGCTTTTCACTCTATCATTCAGTGTTTCCGTGCAAACTGTTAGCAATTCTTCTGTTTTTTACCTTCTAAGTATCCTCTATATCCTTCTGTATTACCATATGCTTTTCAAACATCCCGAACAGTAGTGAATAGTGAAACCCCCCACCAAATCACTGTGCTTATTGGCTCTCCTGTGATAATCATGCTTCACCACAGTAGCTGGAAATGAAATAACAATCAATTACAACTTAAGATTGATTTTCGTATGCTTACAAATAAAGCAACGAGTGTCGCGCAATGGCTACAGGTTACATACACGAGCTTGTTGGTCCGATCCTGTCCCTCGAGTTAGTCCGCCCATCCCTCCAGAGTTGGCAAATTGCCACCCCATTTGTCTGGCAGGATGCGGCACCGGCTTGCTACATCGGTAGGGTGTCATTATTTGGACTAGATATGCATTCATTCATCTCTAACGATGCTTAGTGAAGTCAAATGCATTGCGCATCACGCTGCATTTGACTAACACCGGTATTTGAGAAGTTGAGAACTTCAAAGATCTTTAGAACAGAATTTCGTTTAACACTCTAACGGAATAAATAACTTTTCCAAACTGTTATTTCCCTTTTAAAATCGAATTCTCAAGAAGAAAACCAAAAACGAACTAAGATTTTTAAAATCTTGCAGACGAGCTCGGTTGTAACCAATGATAAGTCGCGGAACATCATTGAGTCCTGCTAGACGAGATCTCGCTTTTCTATGGTTCTACGTTCCCAACCAGACTGCGATGAATAAAGTTGTTTTTTCGACTTCAAAAAAAGTAGAATTTTCATAGTCTTTGCAGAATAGAAAGTTATTTTTATTTGCAAAGACTGGTAGATTCTACCACTTCTTCATTAAATAAAGTTCACTTCTAGTTGGAACACGTTTGCTAAAAGTTGGAAGACCCAGTTTTGTCCTGGCACGGACTCCAAGCTACAAGGACGATAAAGCGATAAATTATTGAAAGGATGACTAGCTGTAAAGATTGCCAATAGAGAAAAGAAACAATCATTTCAAAACATCCCAATAGGTTGCAAAACTATCACCCTCTTGGGCCTTAATTTATGACTGTTGGTTACTAAGGTGGGACCACTTTGAGGTTCTTAAGTAGAAAGTATAGATTAACTTATAGATTTGGAAAGAACAGGTGTCTCGGTAAGAAAGCAATGATGTCATTATGACAGCTTCACAGGTATTTGAAGGGACTTCTAAGCGATAGCTTCGTTCAGGAGAATCCAAAACGGTAAAGAAAAAAAAGACGATTAAGGTAAGGCATATCATAGATAACAATGAATCTGGAAATGGGTGCCTGTCTATAACCCCCATTGTAGAGAATACAATGAACACTGAGCAGCGCTACAACACTTTTAGGTGTTAGCAAAGACAGAATCCCCACCGCGCCCTGTTACAAGACAGAATCAATAGCGCAAGGCTCCGGAGAAAACTCTTGAATTTGGAAGTCTCATGCCGTATGACAGGCTTCACAGCTGAGAAAACTATCTGCGATACTATCATTTAAATCAAATGCACCGGTAACGTAAGCAGTGGGATATTTTAGGAGTCATTAGAGATAAGTGAAGCAAATCGTTTGCAACCACTATGTCCCACTCTTATGATTAATAGTTTTCGTCGACTATGCGAGATAAAACACAACTATTTCTAAAAACCATAGTTTAGTAGCCAACACAATCGATCCTACGATCGTACTAATGAAAACATATTTTCTTACCCAAGGTTTTTCTGCATATGCTCATTTCTCGATAGCCCGTTTTTCTCTTTTCATTTAACGAAACTAAGGCAGTATCTCCTAAAGAAGAAGCTATAATGCTACATGTACTCTTTGGCTTGTAATGTGAACACTTCTGCAACAAAGACTATTTCCCCCTTCCAACCGACCTAGCAGCTTTTCCGGTCAGGACGATTGGCGGTAATAAATTCAACAACAGATTTAAGAAGCCTTACCCTCTATACTCTTATATCCTATATTAATATCATCATATCCACTACCTAGGTGGAATAAGAATCAGTTGCAGCAACGAGATTTGCTGGAGACGCTCGGTGATCATTCACGACCTAATTTATTCACTAACCTGCACGTATTTCTCATTTTTGACGACTTTCAGCGTTATGTTGTTCATGGTGATGTCAATGTCTTGGATCGGAAATTGCGGTGCAGACGGATCCATTGTCACCTCATCTTCCCTCAACACCGACGAGTTGTCATCTCTACGACCAATTATCGCGATACTGAAAACAACTCTCTCATAGATTTGCATAACCGTTCTCTGACTGTGAATTAGTCGCAAATATTTCTGACATTAAACATTAGGAAGGTACCTCTGGCCATTCGAGAAGGGCTTCTGTACTTAGGTGCTTACCGCTAACGATTCCCACGAATCGTTAAAACGAAGTCAGTACAGCAAAAAAATCTAAGGTTTAACTTCGTTGGAAAACTTTCGAGAAATTTTCCTCATTCTAGCGGTACTATCTAGGACAAATTATCGTCAATGGAAGTTTGTACTCGAAAAATTCACTTACCGATACTTATGACCAGGATGAAGTGAGTGAATTCGAATAGTGGTCGAATCGTCGGTTGAAGCCAGAAATGTTCGATTCGCATCCCGAATTAAAGAATCTCTACGATCGAAGCAATAAAAGGTGGGTAGAAGAAACCAGACCATAATTTTTCAAAAATACTCACACAGATGGAGAGACATCCACGACTTTGGCGATGAAGTGGTCAAAAAATGGATGGACGACAGGAAGTTGAACGATGAGCTGTGAATGTGGCAATCGTTGGTCCTTTTCTAACACGAACTGCAACATTGTCCTGATCTTTCTATCACAAACCGTATAGCAGTAAAAACGGAACGAAAAGTTTCCTTTATTTTGACATTTTACTAGCAGTCCTTTTAGTGGTTGCCGTCTCATGCTTTCAAACTTCATTCATTCACCCACCCTCGCATCTGGTATTCCTCGATGCCTAACCAAGATTTAGAGCGAGGGATGGATTTCTCGAGCAGCATCACTATAGTCGAAAATGTTTACGGCATTTTAAAGTAGAAAGTGCAGCGATGGCTCTAGCAATGGGAAACCTAATGCTAGAATTAGTCCCCGTCCTTAAAGAAATATAGCAGCAAAGTGGACAACTTCACTCCGATCCACAAGAGCTGGAGACTGTCAGTGATGACAATCTCAGAACGCCGCCGCACTAGCTCTTTGGGAAAAATCCTCGTCAAACGTCCCGATTAGATGGAACTCAAACAGTCGGGGACCTCATGAAGACTGGCTATTCAAGTAGTCAAGCAAATATCCACCGACTACTGGTGAACTATCTATAAAATCTTTAGTAGTTATATTCCTCTGATAAAGTGTGAAAATATTAACAACGGAAAAAAATCCTAAAATATCTTTGAAATAACTAGACATAATTGTGGAAAATCATATTAGAATCTTCCCACTTCTTCATTCGATGTAGTTCCAATGCAATGAAGCAAGAAACAAAAGATTAAATAAGGAGTTTTTAATAAGGAGTTTTAATCACCTTATTTCCACTTGATTTTCCAACCAAAGACATCTCGGCTCCTGAAAGAAATGACACTCAAATATTTAGGCACCAGTGAGAGATAATCGAAACATCTCCTGTCGAACTTTTTACTTCTCGCTTGTCTTTCTACCTTGAGGATTCTGATTTACTTGAAATCCCACAATAAATTTATAGGACAAAATTCAAATCTAGTAGAACCAGTACTGCAACATTTAATTTGTTCTGCCCAATAAAATACCATCTGCACAAAATTTGGACAGTTCAATGTCACAGGTTTCGAGAATTTGCGAAGTAGTTGACGGACCAGAAAACTCGAGTGACTCAGAAAGATGCCAAATGATTATATCAGGTGTAGAGTAGAATAGTCGTAGGTCGTATTCCCCGAATAAAATAAATAGCAGCGAATGAAGTAAGTTTAGCTCTTAAAGCCGATTCAGAACTTTTCCTCATAATATCTAGTTAATAAGAGAGTAATGCTCATGGGTCTAAGCCAAAAATCAGGACATATAGAAGAGCTGAGGAAAACTGTAACCCATAACGGAAACGTACCATATGATTGCATGCTGGCAACGACGATGGCAATAGCCATCGTCAGCATTTGCCCGACGGTCAGCATAACAGCAACGACGTCAGCATCTGGTTATGTTTATACGGGATAAATAAGCAATGATTACGAAGTATAAACGGTTACTAGACGAACGATGTATGAAATCGTACAGATATAGCTATTTAATCGGAACTACAAATCACATTGGTATTCACAAATGACAAACGATTCAATTGGGGGAGCTTGTGGGGCAGTGGTCAGAGGCGCCCTGCAATACACATGGGATCGATTCTCGCGCCTATGATCCACTAAGCCTTCCATCCCTTAGGGAACGACAAATTGGTACCAGACTTGTCTGGGAGGGCCGCAACATGGCTCAATACACGGGTAGGCCGCTGCGAGTTACTGTAAAGGCAAGATATGCATTAAATCACCTACAAACGATACTTAATAAAGTCGAATACACGGCGAATACAATGAATACACGGCGCATCCTTAAGGGACTGCTCAACGCCAAAAGCTCTATCCTTTATTTTTATCCTTCTTGTCACAGAAAAATATGATAACAGGAACAAGGAAAAACTCAAACCCAAGCCTTATACACTTCTATTAGTGGGGTATATCCTTTCTCGGCATGATCGGTAGCAGAAAAATTTTCCAAAAACACTTCACGTTGCCTTCTTTTATCTATGTGTATGATCTGAATAATTTCAAGGCGATATGTTTTCGCTTTGAAAATGCCCTACTCAGAGGAATCTTGTGCATTTGGAAACAGAAATGGTACGAGCGATTATGAAGCGAACGAGAGAAGAAAAAACTCTTAAGCAAAAGAAAACTTCAGGAAAGTAGAGGAATTAAAGCGCAATGCGCAGATAAGAGGTCGAAATGGGTCAAGTAGTAGGAGAGCGATTAGCAGAAAGAAGAGGAGATGCATAGGAACGTGCCAGAATGCCTTCTGTCCACTCATTCACACATAACTCAGGGCTGATAGTTCTACGCCGTTAACTCGATAACAGAAGAATCACCTAGTTTTCTCTGCAAATTATTTCACTTCAGAAAGAGATAGAGGACAAGGAAGGAAAATGAGTAAGGTGAACATAATTTGGTTTTTGATGTCTCATAGTTGGTCATCGAAATTACCCTAACTTGACCAAAATTCATAATCGCATCGACATCACTAAAATCAATAGTTTTTCAACGAAACCAACAAACGAAGAACAACCCAAATGATGCTGAGATACCCGCAAAACTCCGCACCATAGGTGTCTGCGGTGGGGAACGAACGCGCTATTTACCCTTTCCCGAGGCTAGCGTGTTCACCACCACACTATGCGTGCCCTTCGCTTCGCTTATCTCTCGGCTAGTGTTCGATTAAAATTCGACTTCGAATAAAGTTGAAGAACACTTCTCCAGAGCTAAGACAAAACAATTAAGACAAAAGATCTAATGCAGCGAACTCCGATCTAGATATGCTCCATCTCTTATGAAATCGGATTGTGAGGCAACCGATGAAAGGCATTTGAGTGCGAAAAGAATTTGTTCCCATGAAAATTCGCTCCTTTGTTGGAGAGCCTTCAAATGAACAAAAATAGGATTTACTATGTATGGAACCCTGATCACCTCAGGTTATTACTACCGTTTTTTTCGTATACTGAAACAAAGAAAAATACCAGTTTTTCAATACTTAACGTTAAGCCCAATATAATAACTAGCACCAATCGTTGTCATTATTGAACTTAAGACCCAACTTCTATGAAAAACAGCTTTGGGCCCGTTATTAGGCTAGTGTTGAAACGGATTGTAGGACTCCCCACTCCTAGTGCTGAAACAGACTCTAGGACTTTGTATTTCAGTTTAGCAGCTCCTTTAATGAAGTATGAACAGTCAAAGATAACATTTCACTCTACAAAACATTCCAAAGTCAAAAGTGTTATGTAACGAACAGAACAGTGGTCAGATGAAAAAATTTAAGAATGAGGAATGCTCCCGCCTTCTGTGGTGTCTACGATACTCATTCGAAACCTGCTAGATGTCACGGGGTACAATTTATTACTTTTGTTCTTGCAGTCGTCATCGTTTAAAAACGAGCCTTAGCAAAGAACATCTTGGTTACTGTATGCCTCCTACTATTAATCACAAACACGGTGGGGAAAGAAAGCAAAATGTGATTCTTGTGCGACGCATTCAACCAACAGCAACTATGAAAGGTTGCCGGTCCCATATGGGGAATATTCATCTGTGAAGATAGAGACACACATTAAGCGCTTGGTGTGAACCAATCGACTGAGAGGCTGAGGAGTCAGCGCGATAGGTGAGAATCGGTAAGCGCACGAAACGGATGAAACATCAGTTGTCGGAATCTGTAACGACGAGCCACGTAGAATGTTCTGTTCGGATCGCTACCAACATGGGAAATCGAAAGAGAACGTGGACTCATGGAAGCCGACAACACTAAACAACAGTAGAAACCAACGACAAAAAGACATTATTTGATCTTTGTTGATGGCAAAAAGGCTTCAGCTACCACGATTTACCACAGTAGAATCAGACTGTGGCTGCGTATCATCACAGAGGATGACCCAAAAATTATTATTTTTCCCAATGTTAGGTTTTCGTTTACTGCCTATTACAATTCTGCACGGCACGGTATTATGTACGATACAACTACAGTGGTGCTGAGATATTTGCAAAACCTCACACCGTAGGTGTCTGCGGTGGGGAACGAATGCGCTACTACCTTTTCCGGAGATAACGCGTTCACCACCACACCATACGAGTCCTTCGCTTCGCCTTTCTCTCAGCTAGTTTTCTATCTACCAGTGTCATCAGGAATCACCCGTCAACCCTTGGAAAGGGCAATAGTGCGTTCGTCCCACCCGCAGACACCCGCGGTCCGAAGTTTCGCAAGTATTTCAGCACCATGGTGGTTGCATTATTTTTCGCGCGGTGAATGGGGACAGAATATAAACAAAACCGATGACAACTCATTCACCAATACAAGAACACAAGCTCAGTTTTGCTACAGTGAAAACGAAACATTGTTGTTAAAAATGTTCGAAATGGCTACAGTACACACAAAACTCCCCAGGGATTTCATTGGTATCACAGGCATCTCCGACTATCTATTGCACCTGTCTGATGAACACCTCAACAAATTTATCATATACCCTAATAGATTAATGACATCTCCTAAAGTTCACCCGCTTTAAATATCCACAGCATTCGCCGAGTCAACGAGAAACGAACGAAAAATTTTCAACATTTGAACTCCAAGGGGTCTCTGCGAATTCACGAATAGACTTAACATATTATTTTGAAAAAGTGGTGATCAATTTTGACCATCTTCCAATTTTTAACTAAATCTGTCCACAGCAAAACTCCATCTGATGATATATTTACCACGAGGTGGGCCTGTAGCGCAGTGGTTAGAGGTGCCCCCTGCGACATCACGCTTTCCATCCCGACGGGTTCGCCGAATTGATACTAAATTTGCCTGAGAGGATAGAAGCACTAACATGATATATCGGAGGGTCATCGCAAGTCGTTGTATGGACCAGATATGCATCCATTCACCTCTAATGACCTTGATGAAGTTGAATACATGGCGCATCCCTTAGGAATTGATCGACGCCCAACTTTTTATCGTTTCATCCTTTACATTCAACACCAATATTAAAGACAGTACCTGGTTTTTGGGTTTGATTTAGATCCTCTTCTCTCACGAAACGAAGTAATGAAATTTGAAGTTACCGAATTTGTTAGTAAATCGTTGCAGTCACCGAATTATTCGTTACACAGGTGATGACAATTCTTCACAAGACATCGTCAGCACGCGTTTCGGTCGTACAGTGCGGAGAGTACGGTGGGAGGGTTATGCTGATTCAGCTCAACCCCTTCAATTGCCTGTGAGTCAAACTTATGACGTGGTGCTACGCGTTGTTACGTATTTAACAGCCGGACTATGGATCGTTCCGGCCTTTCTACTCCTCGCAGTCGAAAGAGAAACTGCACTGACTAGAGGATTCCATTGATTATGTGGCTTAAGAAGTTCCTAAAACAATAATCATTGTGAGTTCAAGAAGAAAAAGCACCAGCTTGTAACAATAGGCGATGGATTTTTGACGAGCTCGAGGGTCAGCGCTGATGGGAAGCCGGAAAGAGTGACATGTGTTCCTGTTGTAGACTGGAAAATTCATCTTTCACCTAAAGTTTCAACTTCCCTTAGAAAAAATCTTGTAGGATGAAAGCGCAAACATTAAAACGCATTGATTTCCACGGCCATGTCACATTTGTCAGAATGCTCTAGACCGTAGTCCAATGAAGTATTAACTTATTTGAATCTGAGAAAAACTACGAACCGAAAACAGATGAAAACTTATATTTCAGAAATACAACCACAATGATGCTGAGATATTTGCAAAACACTGGACCGCAGGTGTCTGCGGTAGGGAACGAACGCGCTATTACGCTTTTCCGGGGATAACGCGTTCACCACCACACCATGCGGGTCATTCGTTTCGCCTATCTCTTAGCTAGTTCTATAGAGATTAGAAATAGATTCCAGAATTCTATGGAAAAAAGCAATGAATACACTCCGGAAATGCGCTCAGAATGTCTCGTTTCTTTAGTCAGAAGTTTTGGTAGCAACACTAAAACAACTTAAGGATATGAATTGAAAAGTTCCAACACCACAAGTCCAAGAGACCTGAAAAAAATTTTGGGCATCGATCATACTGGAGTACACTAAACAAAGACAAATAGCCTTTTGCTAAACCACAGAAGAAACATTTCTGCTGAAGCCCTTCAAGAATGAATATGAAAAGGTGCATAGAATTAAAACCAAACAACATCACGGTAGTTTTCACCGACCTGGGGACGAACAATTGAACACCATTAGAGCAACCTTTATGGCGAAATTCTTAGATTTTTGAAAAGAACAAATGACATCAGAACAATTTAGGAGCTCACGTACGACCAGCAATCGAGGAAAGGTGGACGGATCGACCTTGTATCTTGTGGAGTGAGTGTCCTTGTTCACTACGTTCTCCAGTCTCACCGAAAGCGACACCCCAGTGCGAATATCGGAGATTTTGGATTAAGCTCAAACAAACTAGTGCAAACTCGACAACGACAATAAGGGTGCCGTTTATAAAGTTTCTTGGACAGGTTAAGGAGGAAATGATTAAAGGATAAAGCTTTCAGCGTTGATCAATCCTGAGGGATGCGTCATGCATTTGACTTTACCAACAAGTACCCTTATCAGTAACTGAATGCAAATCTGGCCTGCAATAACTTGTGGTGGCCTACCGATTTACCAAGTTAGTGCTGCTCTCTCCCAGACAAGTCTGCTACCAATTTGCTGATCCCGAAAGGATGGTCTACTAAGACTGCGCGCGGAACTGGACCCAGAAAGCACGTGCGCACTGCACTAATGTGCACTTCAAACCACTGCCCTACATCACCTCGTAGGTTCACGGAATGTCTAGCATAAAATAATTTTCCGGTTGTTCTTGCACTCGCAAGAATAATAAGGAAAGTGAGGTAAGACAATGAAGCTAAACACTTGTATACGATTTCCTTGTCGTGAGCCAGGGTTAGGAAACTTGTGAGCACGTAGGCAGGTAGCATTTATCGGCCCTATGCTTCATTTCCCGTGAATTATCTCACTACTACATTGCTCAAACCGAATATCATTTAACCAACGCATTAAAAGGATAAAAGGATAAAGCTCTCGGCGTTGATCAGTCCTTGAGGGATGCGCCATGCATTCGACTTCTTCAAGCATCGTTTGGAGGAGATTGAATGCATACCTGGGCTTTACAATAACGCGCGGTGGCCTATCGATGTACCAGTGCTCCTATCCTGCCACCTGCCAGACAAGTCTGGTACCAATTTGCCAAGCCCGGAAGGATAAAAGGCTTGGTGGGCCATAGGCGCGGAGGATCGATTACACGTGTGCGTTGCAGGGCGCTTCCGACCGCTGCGCCACACGAGCCCTATTTGGGCATTAATAAGCAATAAATTACTAGATTGTTTAGCTAACATGAAGTTGATGGAAAGGTTTATTCGGCTAACGTTTCCACGTATTCGTCTGTCTCAGTGCCGATGAACCGTGCCCTTCAGCGGGAAACGAAGACATCGAAACGTTAGTCAAATAAACCTTTTCATCAATTTCGTGTTAGTTTAACAATCCAGAAAGCTATTTTACTACTACTGGTTTTTTAGGGCCGTGGTCGTTCTCAGTCATCCTCATCAATGAAGAAAAAGAACAGAGTGGATCGCTTAGGGAACGGGAACTAGCGGAATGTTTCTCTAACTCAATGTCACAGCAAAGACAAAAGGAAGCAATAGAAGGAAAAGTGAGACGGCTCTGATGAGAAAATAGAAGAGGACCGAAGGGAAGAATACGATCCGAAAGGAAAACTGAAAGATGAGCAGGGCGTGAGAAAAGAGAAAAATGGAAAAAAGGACTTACTAAACATGGGGACAACCAAAAAAATCCAATAAATAAACAAATGGAGTACAAAATTAGGACAATAGAGATGAACGAGAGACACAAAGAAGAAAAAAGTATGAAAGTAATAAAAAAGCAAGAGAAATATGGCTTACAGTGGCCAAGGACGACCAACACTGGAGACAAGTACTGCTGTCAGTACCGTAACGTTCTTTTCTTTAACTCAAATGTCCTGAGAACCTCTCCAAACAAAAGCAGAAAAGACATGTGAAGGACGGAAAACTGATGAGAAGCACATTTAAAGGTTCTATAATTTATAATTTGGAACAGTTTAGGATAAGAGAAGCCGTAATGAAAAAATAACGAGAAAGGTTCGCCTCGCTCGGCCTAGCAGCAAGTAAGCAAAAATTAAGAGGATCGCTTAAACTTGGAATCGAAAAGGAGGTCCACGTTAAAGGCCCAAAGTATTTGAAAGAGTGGGTTTAAATATCTGGCGACTGAATAAGCGACAAAAAGGAAGCACGCTCTAGAGTAATAACATCGAAGGACTTTGTGAAAATAAATATGGAAAAAACCCTAAAACTTTTTAAAAATGTAGATCAAATAGGCTCCCACTGAATCCCGAATTTTCTTGAGTACCTACGAGTACAACTGTTCTCTTACGAATCGCCACTAACTCACAATAGGATGCAATCAATCAATCAGTCAGCCAATGGTTCGTTACGAACTACAAATTGATCCACTGTTCGATTAGATTAGTTATGTGGGTGGGGTGCATCGCAAGGTGGACGACATCAGTCGGCGAGGCCACCACATAAGGTGACGAAGTGTCCTCGTGGAGAAAGCGCCGCACTATGGACGTCTATCGACCGATCGGATCGATCGATATCGACATGTGGGCGAGACTCTCGGTTGGTGGCTGCGGACGAACATATCGACAGATTTCATCGATCGGTATCGACTGGAGAGACGTGTACGACTCTCGACAAGAGGGTGTCGCTCCGGGCGCCGCGCGTGTGCCGACATTCCTCGACATCCTCGCGCACTGGATCGAGGAGCGCGCGCCGGCGCTCACTACATGGTGTCCGTGGAAGTCAAACAAACACCACACGATCCGTCGATCGATAAGTTAAGAGAATCGGTAATCGAGATTTATATTGCGAACGAACGTGTGCTCGATCGCATGAAGGGCTAACTGTCTCTTTGGTGGACATCAAGGGATTTCATCTCAGTGCACATACGGAACTCTCTACAAGGTTTAAAATAAAGAGGAAGTTTAATCAGTATTCCATACTTTTTAAAAAATATTACTCTAGACTGAAGCGAACTAAACTGTACTGATTGTCGATGAAGAAGCAAATCCGCTGTTCAACAACAAATCATCTAAAGGTAAATGCCCTTCCCAAAGGTCTACCGCCTCATCTTGATTGGGTGGTGTCTCTGAATGTCGAGCTGCGATGTACAGGGTGGGGAATCACCTGACAGAGTCTCCCAAGCTGAGAAAGAGTCGCGCGTTTCCATCAGGAAGCCTAACTAAGAATAAACGAATACCAGGATCCACCAACGTCCTGGTATGAAACTAGTCGCACAGTGGCAAATATAACTCTGATCCACAGGGCTGGCAACTGCCTGATGTGGGGACGATCTGGGGCAGACTTTAGCCAGGCTGACTTCTGGACTCCAGGGAACCATAATGGCTAGACCAGACTCCGAAAAAAGGGAATTATGCTGGAGCCCGCACAACCAGTGAAGATAGGCCATCCAAGTATCCTCGTAATTAAGCAAAGGTAGATGTTAGGAAAAAAGTGGTCGAAGAGAATAATCCTCAATTTGTTTGCCTTTAGTAGCTACGAAATGTCTGCATTTCCGTTGTTACTCTATTATTTGCTGCCTACTATAATTTTTCACGACAGAATATGATGTGAAATGGTCACAACGATGCTGAGATATTCGCAAAACTTGGACCCCTGGCCAGATCGAACCTCGATTACCCTTTTCCAGGGGCTTGCGCATTACACCTTGCTCCACAGAGACCCTTGCTTTGCGTTTCTCTCAGCTAGTTTTCTACCTAATTTTTCTTCTACCTGGGTTCTCAGTGGTGCAGTGTGTAATATGCGAGTCTCGGGAAAGGGTAATTGTGGTTCGATCTGGCCCGGGGTCCAGGTTTTGCGAATTTCTCAGCATCGTTGTGGTTGTATTTTACGTTGTGTTAAGGAAAAAAATTCCCCTAAAAAAACAAAATAAATTGGTGTGGAACCAACAAGATATATGTTACGGTGTTCAAAATGAAGACAATCCACTTATGTGAACGAAAATCTCTACTCAGCCATTAAAGTTGAGCTAGTTTTTGTCCTTCAACGAGGGTTCGTTCCGTGAAAAAGCGGGAATTTTTCCAGCAGATGTATGTGACACGGTAATAGTTTTACGGTAACAGTGAACTCGCATTTATTACATGACGTTAAATAATATTTTTAACTATTAGAATAGTTCTCTGTGTAGTCGGTTAACGAAGTCCGGATTAATCCAGTGCACAAGAATCCTTCGCGAACAGAAGAGGAAAGCAAGCGGAGCTCAGATGAGCTCTGATGATAGGGGTTCGATGGGCGGTCGGCTTGGGAGTCGTGGTGCTGGCGACGGTTTAGGATTTCTACAAATAGTCACTGAAAACATCCTTTGGAAGCCTATGCTATCAGTGCAAAGTATAAACTAGACGAGTCCGTTTCAGTCCCAGAATTTCTTGGCCAGTTCATAACAGCCTATCAGATTTCACTTCAAATGATCTAAAAAATCAACGTGTAGTGCAACTGGGATGTCAAATCAGATATTTCAGCAAAAACCCAAAAATCCAAAAACACAAAACGTCAGCTTCAGTTAGGTTCTTCCAAGTTGGAACAGATCGAACCTTTACCGCCGATTCCTAATCAGTGCTAATCAGTGCGAGGAATCTCAGAGAAAACAATGAGTGATTTCATCCAAACGTGCTTAGTACAATAGACTTTCATAACTGGCCAACGAACTTCAATACCGAATTCCCCTTGACATCAGCCTCGATAGTCAATGTCTTAGTGGTTAATGATAGGCTAACAGGAGCTTCTTACAAACGTTATTGTGGCTAGCATTTCGCCGTTTTCGCCTTTTACAAAGTCACGGTGGTTCTAGTCGTAAGATTTTCACAGCCCTTCATCATCGCGATATGTCCCATCTCAGATGTCTTTTCGATTGGAATACTGCTGAAAGAACTGCTGTGGAAACTCAACTCGAATTATTGGCGCTCTAACAAAAGCGATAGCCCGAAACAATAGTGAAAGGTTTGTAATGACCGCATTTAAGCTTATCAATAGATCCAGAAGTTGTGCAGTCAACTTCTTACTACAGAACGAAATGATTCTCAACTCGGAACTCCGCTACATATCAATGTGGTCCGAAAAAAGTACTCAAGGAGAGGTAAACCGTTAGGCGCCAATCAGTCTCACAGGAATGGAACATGCATTGGAGTTCGTTAAGCATTGTCAGAGGTTACTGAATGCATACCTGTTCTGGGCAATGACTACAGGTGCTCTACTGATGTGTCAAGAGTGTTGCTATCCTTCCAGACAAATTTGGTACCAGTTTGCCAGTCCCGGAGGAGTTTAACGCTTGCTAGGCAAGGTGAGCGGGATCGTACCAATGACCACATGTGTACTGCAGTGAAACTTTAGCCACTGCATCATGAATGCCAAAAAACAATTAATAGAAAAACAAAAATTATCACAACTTCATGTTATACTCAAGCAGAATAGGTGATGTCTAATCGTCTGAAAAAATAGAGTAGACGAACGATGCTAACAACAGTGAGAAATCCTGTTTCCATGTTCCATTCGTACATTAAGAAGCACGTTCTAGTAAATACAAGCATTAGATAAGACTATATGTCTGAGCGACATTGTTGGCCGCAATGAACCGTCTCCAGCATGATCTGGGTAAGTGTAAGATAAAAAAGACGGAGAAAAAAGGGCATAGAAATTAGATATTCAAAAGAATGGATAGCGAAGAAAAGAAAGGATGAATAAAAATCAAAACGAACAGAAGGAAAAACTCGTTCTATTGCTTCAGGGAGGGAAATTCAATGAATAAAAAAACTGGTGCTAGCATTCTATGCTAGTGGAAAGACGCCTGCTGGATGGAAACCAGTCCGCATTGTCGAGGGAGGCAAAGATGTGTAGGGGCGAAACCGCAAAAGCCATTATCTCTGTAATGGTTATTTTCACTTGGGACAGAACACAAAGACTTGAAAGCCGTAAGTCCTGGAAGGATAGAAGATCTCTTATGGACAAATTATGGAAAAGAAAAATAGGAGAAATTCCCTTGGTGGGGAAGGACTAATAAGTTTTTTTTCAATCCACATTACCTGGCATCAGACATTGTGCAGGTCTCAGTACTTCTTTCATACCAGTAGTTTTTTTTTGCACCCGTCGTCCACGATGGTATTATGATTTGTATCCGTCTGAATTCGACTGCCGCTTGAGGTTTTGGCATTCATCGTGAAAGCCCTTGATTGCTGCTCAAATAAGTTCTCTCTGGAAACCTAGGCTGGCTATGCTAGAACTTTCGCATACCACCACCACAGGTAGTCACAAGCCATTGTGAATTGGAGAGAGCTTTCACAGACAAATTTGGCACCAATCTGTCCGTACCGTAGGGAGAGAAAACTTTGGTCACCCGGAACGGGGTCGAATCAGTGACCTTGAGAGTATTACTGAATGGCATTTCTAAATGGAGACAAAAACGAAAAGGAACATTTGAAGATGTGGGCGAAATACGAAGCAAAAAGGACACTTAAAAAGCATAGTCAAGCAAGGAATAAGGAAAGGAAATGAGGTCGTACGACGTGCACTCGAAACGATTCAATGTGTCTTGAATTCTCAATGAGAGTGGAACAACTTCTCTTTTTCAGTGTATCATCGTTCTTTTCAGCACGTTAAATTGAAATTTGACCCAGAGACGTATGTCTCGAGTAAGTGCCTTGGACGGAGAACCTTCTTTTGTTTCAGTCGAACATTTGAGAACGTGGAGAGTATGGAGGAGCGCACTACCGTTGAGTGAATTCGCTCTCAGATTTTATAACGATTTATTCGACAGCAGAACGCGATGGATTAGAATCCTTTGCTCACTAGGCGAGTGAGGAAATAAATAAAAATAATAAGTAATATAAAAAATAATAAGGGGCAGAACAGAGGGCAAACCATAGGTCTCAATAGGAGGCTGACTGTGGACACCTGGGTCCATAAAACAGATGCTGGCGTAATGTAAGGGAATGTGACCTTTACGGGTTAGCTCTTGGACTCGCTGGCCTGGAAATTTGCATAGTCGGCAGTCTGGAGAAGGCCACAGATAATTGCGTTCGGTGCGCAAAGAAACAGGCGCCATATGGAGTAATAGGAGAAGAAACAGGAAAGGACGGACGATGGAGTCGATGAGTGGTGAGCTGGAAACGAAACAGAAAAGACACATGGAGACTGGAAAGATCGAGGAACAAAGCTCTGGCTAAGTGGGAGGAGCGCATAGCGTCCTGAGGACTTACCATGAAGCCCTGAAACAAATTTGTTGAAATTGCATTGTTTAAGTTTGCTGCCAATAATTTTTTTCACTGCAAGGAATTATGTGGAATACAGCCATAGTGATGCTGCGATATGAGCAAAAGTGTTAACCTCAGCTGTTGGAGCCGGTGATAACCCTTTCCGAAGGCTCACGTGACTTTACATAATACCACGGTAAGGAAAAAAAATAATGGGCACTAAATAAAAATTCCAAGTGCAACTTCGGCTTAACCGGGTTCAATGCAGACTTGTGCTCTCCCGGATTTCCTTTAAGGGGTGATTTGATTGCTGATAGTACTACTAGGATAAAAAATCGTCTGATAGAATGGCAAAACAAGGGCCTCGGTGGTGTGGTGGACAACACTTGAGCCACCTGAAAAGAGGATCATGGGTCCAAAGCTCAATTGGAGCCTCCAAGCTTGCTCGTATGCCAATACCATTATGGCTGAAATTGTTGAATTTACTACAATTACTAGTTATGTAGTTTACATATTATTTTCAACTAATATCTAAAAATGTGGTTAGAATTAAGAATATCCGCTTCTAGTCTTGTAAAT